AAATGATTACAATGATCGCAATCAATAATGATCCGTAACAAACGCACAAATACAGGAATGTCTCAGTGAGACGCCATTTTACAAGTTCTATCCATGGTGGAAAGTAGAACTGGTGGACAATGGTGGAAGAAGCCAACTGCCCAAGGTGCTATTGCGCATACATACATCAGCAATATCAGCACATATTTTCTAAAGCCCAAAATGCATTCGGCAAACGCACGCTTGACGCTTCTGATTGGCTATCATGAATACAAATGTGAATGCATATTTGCGTGCTACGACTTATCTAGACTAGAGACCTCTTATGCTTGGACCACAACCTTGCTTTAAGTGGCAGCAAGCAGTAAGCCTTATGGCTTCTGCACAATGGACGCGTCTTACAATATTTTGCTGTGTGGCAAGCGTTCATTGTGCAGAAACCATAAGTCCATTAGGGCTGCCGCACACAAAATTTTTGTACATCAGATTAAGGTTCACGCCTTAAGGTTACTGTTACAGAAATTTTGTGTCCTTAAAATTGTTACAGAAATTTTGTGTCCTTAAGATTGTCTTAAGTAATGTTTTAGTAAGGCAGTTAATACTCTTTGATTGGTTCGTGATATTTAAATATAAGATCCGACTATATGAATACCGACTTAAGTTTTCACTTTATTAGAGTTGGGTCACAGTATAAGTACATACAATATGAACACTGAGCGTCAGCATCTTTGATGTAGTGAGTTCCAGATCACATGACTCGTTGCCATGTTGGTTGGATTGGATTGGCGCTTATAAATTTGAGTTTTTATAAAGCTAGACTGATTTTTCTAAAAAAAAAAAACATAATTCGGTTGTGTCATGAAAATTGTTTATCGCCAGTATATTTTAAATCAGAATTATATAATAATATAATATTAATGAACTCATTATATTGTATAAAGATAATATTCACATTAATAATAATATTAATATTAAACAGTAATAGGTAAATTAAAAATAATAATTGATTGAATACTATATGAAAATTGTAATTGAATAATTATATGGGTCATTTAAAAAGTATCCGCGGTACTTTGTCACTAGATATATGACCATCAACACACATCTAGTGACAAAAAACCGCGGATATTTTTTAGATGACCCAATATATACAAGAATACTTTATCGTATACAAATATAACAATCTACACAATATAGCGTCTCCGAAAAAATTTGATTTAATTTCTTAATAAAACTTAATTTTATTAATTATATTTTATAGGAAGAAGATTCAGCTAACCTAATCTATATATCTTGAAACTAACGTGGTTCTAATATTAACACATATAAAAAATAAGAGCATAAAAAACCACAGCACAAGTTATAGTTTGTGATATTTAATTATTATTACATTAATTAAAACATTAAACGTTTCGGCCACAATCTGACCATCTTCAGTAATTCAATAATATTCTTAAAACGCAGCGTACATCTAGTTGACATTAAATTCAACAGTCAAGAGTTGTAATTAAATAAACATGTTCTTTTATATGTGAAGATGCTTCATACAGTAATGTTACAACGTCAATTGTCATATCAAGAAAAGTGTAGAACAAGAATTTCCAGATTCTAAATAAAATTGTATATATTAAAATCTTCTAGTCGGAATATAAAGAATTAGAATTGTTTATAGAATCATTACCTGTTTTACAGCAAAAAAACCAAACGATGAATCTCGAGTATTTCTTTTACACAGTTAGAATTTTGTCGTGACATTATGTGTTGTTATTTATCCTATCATATATTTTACCATTATTTATATATCTGAGTCAAAAATTTTAGAAAGTTCTAGAATTGTTTATTAACGGAAAGAGACATCCTTCTTTAGAAGAAGCTCTTCTAAAGAAGGATGTCTCTTTCCGTTTAGTGTCTGTACATATTGTAGATACTTATACTGTGGTTAAGTCGGAGTGTAGGAATTGACTAGTCACAGTCGAGTATTTCCATTTTATAGTCATGAGAAAGAAATGCTCGATTGTAATTGGTCAGTTCTTGTATTCTGACTCAACTCTAATCTTGGAGGAAACTTAAGCTGTTTTCATATGCAGCGGAACTTGCATAAGCGTAACTTGCGTCAAGCAATCAAATCGTATCAAATTGTATCATTATGCAGTATTCTAGTTAAGACGATTTGATTGGCTGATGCAAGTTACGCTGCATGTGAAAGCATTAATCTAAAAAAAAGGGAACAAACAGTTCTACAAAAGTGAACAAATTCACTAGAATTTTTATAATTTAGAGTTGTTTCATTTTTTAAATTTCACCTGTTGGGCAAGTAATAAGATTACCCAATCACATGCGCGGATTTACCTCACAGATAAAATTTAACCAAAAATTAACCAAAAGGTGGAATAACTGGCCCTTAATTGGTCAATACCTAGTAACTTTTATTCACTTTTGTAATTAGGTCTGTTCGCGTTGCATGAAATCCCCAAATATTTTTGCACTTAAAATGAGATAGATATATTTGGCGTTGAAAAGAGACAAAGAAAATATGCCGAGTGCAAAAAGTGCGAGCCACGCGAACGGATCTATTTTCACTTCATTTCGAACATACACAATCGACTCCCAGATTAAAGAATACGCTATTTTTGTTAATATAGAACTTTAATAATCTCTAATAACTCCGGGCGACCGAGGCGACGCCGAGCAACTCCGAGGCACTCCGGGCGACTCCGGGCGATTTCGGGCGACTTCGAGCGACGTCGGGCGTCGATGACATTATGTTTTCAAAACTTTACAAAAAAACAGTGAAATCTCTAAAAAAAAAACTTCTTTAAGGAAAGAAAAAATATACGCCAAGTGCATAAAAAAGGTATCGAACATTACATTCCTTTTAATAAAAAAACGGATACGAAATAAATACAATTTAGCCAAGTATTTCATAATGCAAGACACATAATTAGATAGAATTAGATAGATTGAAAGTGACTAAAATGATTAAAAAATTACTTTTAGTAAATATTTTGGAGCCATTTTAATGTCATGATGATTTTTTGTTCTGTTTGGAGATATGTTTTCTATTTATCAATATATAGATAGATTTTAGAAACATTCCTGCCTAGTGAGAACTGATAATTTTGATTCGATATCGAAATCATCAAATTTGATCGACGTCGATTCGATATCGATTCTATTATCATTTCTCACTGGGTGTTGAAATATTTCATGTGGCACTTATTGCAGACTCCTTCAATGTTGCAATATTTCATATGATATACTGCAGAATCTTTTCGTTGCATACGATTGAAATGTGAAAGATTGAAACATTTTTAAAAATTTTGCGTAACAATCGGTGCTGTATAGGTTTTAATAGATATTTAATTAATTGAAAGACGATTAAAAAACTATATGCGAGAGAGAGAGAGAGAGAGAGAGAGAGAGAGAGAGAGAGAGAGAGACAGAGAGAATTTTCTTTTGTATCATTATTTTGACTCTTTATATGTTTGTACACTACAGGATCATTGTATCTATTGTTAGTTGTGTAATTCTGATAACTCTGCTATTTATTGCAATGTTACGGTGAGTTGAACAACAAAAAACTTTATTAATGAAAAAATGAATCTATAAAAAAATGTATTAAATACATTATATCAATATATGCATATTATATTATAATTATATTAAAAAAGAATATGGAACTTCATGGATCCGTATATTAAAAAAGAATATGGAACTTCATGGATCCGATTACCTCAAAATGAATGAGATTTAAAGAATTATGTCAGATAATTAATATTTAATAATTAATCTTTGCGTAGCCATCTTGAGATATAATATCCAGTAAAAAATTCACACGTTCATACATCCCTCTTTCTTTTGTAAAATTACTTTTTAATAAAAATAATAATAATGATGCGAAAACAATTAAAGAGATAATTTTGGTATTGTTGTAGAAAAAATTAAATTTGGAGAAATATAAAAAAAATTGTTTATTCACACACCAATTATGTATAATTTTATATATAATTATATATGAGCATTTGTTTTACATTTCTCTAAACTTGATTTTTTCGAAAAGAATTAGAGCGAAAATTATCTTTTTAAATATTTTTTATATTTTCACATTATTATTATTTCTATTACTAAAAAGTAATTTTACAAATAAGAAAGAATGATGTATGTACACTTACGTATAAATATTTCAAATACAATTATGTATGTTTATGAATATTTATACATATTTGTATATGTATAAATATTCATAATAAATATTCAAATTTGTATATGTTTGTATGTTATGTATTATTATATATTATTATACATATTATTATGCATGACAAATTTTTTACCGGGATTTTTTATCTATAAAATTAATAGTTCTCCATTTATTTTTTATCTCAATAAGTTGCGAATAATTAATGAAAGAGAAACGTATAATTTAATTAAAAAGTTAATAAAATCTAAAATTTAATAAATATATTTTGTCAAAATTTTTGTTCGGAAAAATTAATTATTGGTAAATATCTGATTGAAAGGTGTATTAAAAATTTAATACATATAAGAATTATCTTTTGAAATGTTGATTCTATGGAGTATTGTTTTAATTTGAAATTTATATTTGTTATTTTATGTTACAGAATCAAATGCGCTGTATGTGTAGTAGCGTTACGTGGCAGATGTATAACTCTGCTGTTACATATTGGGTAAGTGAATGATAAATTAATTTTTTTATTGAGATATGATATATGTGTGGAATATAATATGTAAAATCTTGTGCTGATATTTAATTATGCAAATGTGGCTATAAATAGCGAAAAGGATCTTACTTATAAATAATATAACTATAATTAATATAATATTTAATTTAATTACTCGGCTACTTTTAATTATGCTGAGCAAATCCTAAGTGATGCTATTATAAATTTATTAGGTAATAAATATTGTGGTATTGATTTGTAATAATTTAATTAATCGATAAATAAAATATTTTACAATATTATATAATTTTGCATAAATAATACGAAATATACGACGCGTCGTTGGTTGATAATAATTCATGATTGCACCTATATTTTACGTCTCACTTACCAAACACGCGTGATATTTCTTCATTTTGTTAATTTGATGTATCGATATCATTAATAATGTTAATTAAAATTGAATTAATCGCGGATAATAATAACAAGAAACAATCAATATATACTTGGAGAATATATACTAAGGTAATCGTATACTTTGGCTTCGCCAAAGAAATAGAAACAAATAGAAACGAACATTACATCGTCACATCGCTAAACAGATACATAATAGATGTAGAATGCCGCATATTTGAAAATTTCGAAGAATTTTCCAAGTATAATGCTTGTCATTACCAGCTAGTAAATACATAATACTTTAACGATGCGCATCACACAATGTGCGATTAGTGGCAGGGAATCAAATTTATAAAACTGCACGAGAGCGTAATTTACAATATTTCAAAACACGAAACTAGAATAAAAAGTAAATCATTCGTACAATAAAGTACATTTCCTGAGCGCTTTAATAAAAGCGTCAAAAAGAAAATCACTTTACCCTAACTAGATTAACACTCGGTAAACACCATCCAGTCTTACGTAAATTGGTTTTGACATATATATATATAATCATTATACGCAAATCGATTTTAGAAAGGAACAATTGATGTCTCTATCGCCGATATATTATTTCAAGAGTTAGACTCATGCATATTGATTAAATACATTGACATAATATATAATACAACATTCGATGAAAAAATAAAATTGCAATCGCGGAAAAGAATCAATTATATATCCGACACTCTACAATAATAATAGAAATGTTCAAAACGTGTGTAACACGTGTATTACACGTGTATAACAAATGCTTATTCAAACAACTTTTTAGCATAGTGCCAAATACGGAAAAAGTACTCATCTTTCCTAAGTAATCTTGCTCTCGCGTATGAATGTATATCGGCATCCATATTATGTTCTCTTAACCATGAACTTGTGTTTTCCGTACTAAAGCTGATTGATGCGGTCTCACCTTTGTCCATAGCCTCTGCAATTAGTTCCACGCACGATAGTTCTGCCAAAGGAACAGATTTAATGATTAAAGTTTTAAGTTTAAGTTTGAAGGATGAATATTGTATAATGAAAAGATAATTATAAGAATAACAATAAGAAAAGAAGCCGTACCCCGGTCAAAGCGGGTGTTGGCTTTAATAACTGTGTGAGTTTTTATAATTTCCAGTTCAAGCAAACTGTGCGCGCCCATAATATTTGACGATTTTAAAACAATTCTAAAACTGAAACTAAAATAATTAATATCACAATTAAATTGACATGCGATGTTTACAGTATTTTAAAGATTGCTCATTAGTATCAGAATTATTAAATTATTTGTCAATTTAATCGTGGTATTACCTACTTCAGTTTCAGGAGTTCTAATTACTTCAGTTCTAATTACTTCAGTTTTAAGACTGTTTTAAGATCAATAAGTATTCGCACGCAGTTTGCTTGAACTGGTAATTGTAAAAATTCACATAGATTTCTAGGAGTAGGGATGTTTTGTTCTAGTCCAGAAGACGTCCTGTGGATCGAATAATCGCTTCATTATGTTCTACATTCATCCACAGGATATAGAAATCGATAGTCTTGAAGACATCCATCTGTAATCTTTGGGACAATTCTATTCTTACCCATACGGCACATATTTATAAGGGACATCCCCCCCCCCTCCCCTCCGAATGTCTTTTGGATAGTGTGCTGAATTTGCAAATTGAAATGTTTCGCAAAATATTATATTCATTAACTTCAATGGTATAAAAATACATTCGTGTCTTGCATTAAGCGCATGCGAAAGTCATATACAAATAATTATGATTCGTTTGTCCATTATATAGACTTTGGTTATCGAGAGTTTGATTAAATTTTACATGCAAGAAACGATGCCATCTATCGGCAATTCTAGAATATCAGAAAAACCCAAAAATAAATCCTCAAAATTATGACAGACATCTTTAGGATTTCAGATTAGAATGTTAATTGCTATTTAAAACATTTTTAGAACGCTTATTTATATAGGTCTCAGAACATTCTGAAATTTTCATCTTTGTTAGTATAAGATTCTAAACACATATGTCCCAAAATATTCAGGACGTATTCATCCTGAAAATGTTTTGTACTATTAGGAGTATTATTTAAATACAAAAACTTATTTTGACTTCGATCCTTGCTTATTGTTTTTGAAGATTTTCTAATCGATTTTATTGTTTAAAAACTTATTATTATTTAAAAAAATAAATAATATCAAGTAGAAAAAGATAGAAATAAAAATAATGACAGAGTTGTACCTGATGTCGGTACGATCTTAAAGGGTTCTTCCGATTCCAAATGATCGCTAAATCCGATCTCATTTCGTGCGAAGATTCTTATGAGATATTCGTGATTCTCTTGCAGATCTCTAATGTTCAATTTTTGTATGTCCGCGCTAACTCTTCCCACTTCCATCCACATAGTTTTCTTCGCGTCTCTAATAGCAATTTTGTAACCCTCGAGAGATGCACCGCCGTCTGATTCGGGTCTACCCCATTCGATTACCATTGTATTCGCTGCAATCTGTCTCATCTCTAACGGAGCAGTAGGTGGTGATGGAACATCTACAAATAATTCAAAAAGCATAAATAAATGTATAAATTGTTACTTTACTATTAGGTGTATACGATAATTTGATAATAGTATCTATATAGTATATATACAACATCATATTGTATATTATATATATATATATATATATAAATTAGCTTACTAGCATGAGTTTTTAGCGTGATCGGCTCGGAATTAGTAGGTATGCTAAGACCTAAACTATTTTCAGCAAAGATTCTAAAGAGGAATTCGCTTTCTTTTAGGTTCTCTATACAATATTGGTGTGTTGTAGCATCCAAAGTGACAACTTTTGACCACCTGGCGCCTTTTCCGATTAATGGTCTCTTCTCGATTACATAACCTATAGTGAGAAAAAAATAATATATATTAAATCAATATCGAAATGGAAAATTCATTTTATAAAAGTTTATATTTTATAAAAGTTTATATTTTATATTATCACCTGTCAATTCTGATCCTCCTGTTGTAGTTGGTGGTGACCAACTGAGAGTGACGCTTTTGCTAGTGACATTTGTTGCTCGAACGTTTAGCGGGCACGAAGGTGGTGCTAAAGAAAATTTAAATTATTATTTGCTCAATATATATATATATATGTCTTGCTATATTAGAATTCAATTATGTTTTACTATTAGCGAAATTGATTGGGTGCATTAGTACGCATAGCCGTGGTACATAAATCGATGTGTAAAAGTCGAAATGTAAAAATGTAATATAAATATTTATATATTAAATGGCAAATTTTTGTACACTTTATTGTGTTACTTTGTAAAATATGTATTGGGCATTTCATTATTCGAGATATTTGCATTTCATTTTTACTTTCAGATTAGATCAGTATATAATATGGTAAATTATATCGCTATGCTTAGCGCCGAGACACTAAGGTGTCTTCTGATTTAATATACACCAATACGTACTAATGCGTCTAATCAAATTTGTTAATAGAAAATGCAAAGATAAAATACAATTCAAGAACAGGACATAAAGAACAAAAATAAGAAACTTACTCTTAATAGCGATAGTTTTGGTTGATGGAAATATGCCTAGTAGCGCGTATATGCTGTTTTCTGTAAGCTTTATTAATTCTAAGCAAAAGCAAAAGCGATCGTATTTATTATTAGACTAGTTATATTGGGAGATTAATAATAATTGAAAATCAGTAATATGATAAAACGTTTAAAAAATAATTAGTAAAAAAACTTACTCGGTTGTTTACCGGTTGTAATCACTTCTTCTGCTGTATATGGAGGACCAGTACCAACGTTATTTTTAGCTATTATTCGGAAATTGTACGATGTGTCCAATTTTAAATCGGATACAGTAACATTAGTGACTTCCCCCTTTGTACTCGCAATCTAAGAAAGCATTAAAGATAAAGAAATGATTGTTTTAGTGCGGACAATGAGTGGCTTAGTGTATAAATAATGTGAGTACTAACTCTTTGCCAAGTTTTCTTAGATGTCTCCTTCATTTCGATAATGTATTCTATAATAGGAGTCCCGCCATCATTCTTTGGTGGTTCCCATTTTAATGTGAATGATGTTTTCGTCATTCCAAAAACTTCGAGTGGTCCTCTCGGTGGACCCGGTATTTCTAATTATCAACCAATAAAATATATATATATTTAAATATTTTATAAAGTTATATTTAATTTTCTTAACATTCTTTTTTAATATTTAATATACAAAAAAAAACATAATCTTTTTTTACCGAATGATGTTCTTGTTCGAATTGGTTCGGATTCCAAAGGATCTGAGGATCCGACCGAGTTTCTAGCAACTATTCTGAATAGGTAGTCGACATCTTGCTGCAATTTCTGCACACAGAAATTCTCAACTTCTTTGTCAACATCACCTACTTTTGTCCAAGCTTTCTTATTCATTTCGCACTTCTCAATGGTATATCTTTCCAGTTCAACACCACCATCATCGATCGGCGGTCGCCATTCTATGGTGACGCGATCTTGTCTAATTTCTTTCGCGATAACTGGTCCCTGGGGTTTACTTGGTTTATCTGCAATACGTAATAAATATTCACATCATTAATTTTAAATTTACTTTAAAATTTTCATCATTGTTTGACCAATATGAAAAGTTATCAACCTATAACACGAAGATGACATTCCATTGATGAGCTACCGGCTTCATTCGATGCTTTCACTGTATAGATAGCTGTGTCATTTCTAACAAGCGAAGAAATCATAATAATAGATGTATTTTCCTTAGTCTCAATGGAAATGCGCTTATCAATTATTGTTTTGTTATTTATCGTCCACGTTACTTCCGGTTTTGGAAAACCACTAAAATGAATCTCAGCTTTCCATTTATCGCCCACTGTTAGTCTCTGCTTTCTTAAATTTTCATCGCAAGTGATCTTTGGAGATTCTTGAATTTTTAATTGACATGATGTTTCCGCCATTCCTGCATCATTTTGAGCTTTAACCGTAAATGTGGCTGAAGATGTCTCAGTAGTTTTTCGAATAGTATATTTAGCTAAATGGTTTTCGTATGTAATATCACTATCTTCGAAAGCCTTGCCATCTTTCAACCTAGAAAATAATTTTTACAATATATCTCGAATGCAGCAATTGACATATTTAGCTGTCGCAATTAGATAAAAAATGAAATAATGAAAAATTACCATGTAATACGAGGTGTTGGTACACCACCAATTACGCAAGAAAGTGTGACGGTCTCTTCTAATCCAATGACGATACTTTTAAGTGCTTCAAGAACGGTCGGTGGCTCAGACGCTGATAACTTGGAAATTCTTAGATATGGCGTATTCAGCGATGCTTCCCCTGGTCCAGCTTCGTTAACAGCTGTTACACGGAAGGTATATTCCTTGTCGGAGATTAAGTTGGTTAATTTATATGTAGTTTCAATTATTGTCTCCGTGATTCTGCTCCATCTTAAAATTAAATTAGATGTTTAGATTTTTTGTTTTTTTCTTTAACAAGTCCACAAAATTTTATATTACTTACAAAGTTTCTGTCTTTTCTCGATATTCTAAAATGTATTCTATGATCGAGGAGTGTCCATCTGAATCTGGTTTCTTCCAATGAAGAGTAATGCTATCATCGGTTATTTCAAGAGGTTCCGGAATTCCTGGTGCACCGGGTACCTCTGTAATGTGTACATATATATATATATTTTTCATTATTATATTTATTTTTAATGAAATCGAGATTTCCTTCCGAAAATTATTTAGATTATTATATCGATATATACATATAAATACGTAATATATGTACAAGATATATGTAAATATGTAAATACTTACGCACAACAATGACGTTGATTTCTATACTATCCTCTCCATGTGGATTAGTTAATTTTAGAGTATAATCACCACAATCTTTCTCTTGTACGTCTCTGATTATTAAGACGGCTGAACATTCATCAATGGATGGAATAATTCGTTTAGATTTTTTAAGAATACGGCCATTGACGATCCACTCATCAATTGGAATTGGCTTAGCCGCGAATTTGACAACAATATCAATGTCATCGCCTTTCATTGTTTTGTATTTTTTAAGCGTATCAGGATGAATTTTAGGCGATGTTTCAATAACTGCAATAAGAGAAACGCATATAAATGAAATAATATCCAAATTATTATAGACTAATAAAGAAGAGAACGAAGATTAATAGCGAATTCGATTGGACACTCTCAGTACGCACTAGTGCATATTAAAATCATCATGTACACATCATTTGACATAAATATTTATGTTTATTATAAATATAGAAATCGTGAAATACTCAATACTTTATTGTGCTGTTAGGTAAAATGTATTTTATAATTCGAAATATTTACATTTTACTTTTACACTCAAATTAAATCAGTGTACAACAGCTTCATATGCACCAGTGCCTTTAATCGAATTTGCCATAATACCATTGAAAATACCTCACGCACGCACACACGCACACCCATCTATTTTGGGCACACAAGACTTATTTTAAGTTATTTTAAGTTATTTATATGCTTAAAGAAAATATAGTACGCAATCTTATAAAATTTACCTTCGATTTTTAATCTCGATGACGTTTTCACATTGGCAACTGCAGCAGTATATTCAGCGATATCTTCGGTCGTGCATTTTTTAACAATGAGCTTTTTAATATTTCCTTCGTCGATAACATTATATTTCGACGATTGTGCACAATCGATCATTTCATTTTTCCTATACAAATTTCACATAAGTTTATATATACAATTATTATTATATATACAATATAAAGTTTATATATACTATTAGGTGTTGGAATTAATTCGTAGCGTTTTACAAGTGATGGGAAGTACTTTCATTAATGTATTTTTTAATGCTCATGTGAAATAAATAACATTCTTTCATTAAAAACGCTACGAATTAATTCCAACACCTAATATATATATACATGAAGATTATGCGTTTCGCGGGTTTCTTCCATGTTTAGATCCATTCTTGGAATACCAACGTTTTGTGAACTTTGCAGGTCCACTTCATCAGGACGAGGAATAGCTTGATACAGTATCCCAAGTATTCCAAGAATGGATCTGGACACGGAGAAAATCCGCGAAACGCATAATCTTCATACAGAAAGCACCCGTGGAAGTCTCAAGAATATTATATATACATATATTATATATACTATACATATTTGTTTTAATTTTATTCATAATTGTCAAAGAAATTAACTTTTTTAAATATATTTTTTTATCTTGATAAAATTTAACTTACTTTAACCATGTTACCGGTACATCGGCACGTGATAATTCGATAAGAAAAGTTGCATCAATATTGAGAGGTACTAAAGTAATATCTGGTAATTTTTTAATAAAATCTACTTCGGATTCTTCGACTGTCAATCTGGCTGACGAAGTTTGATCACCAACTTGACAGGAATAGATTCCTGCATCTTCTACTTCAGTGTCATAAATTTTCAATTTTTGTCTTTTGCCATCGATTGACAATCGCACATGCTCAGAAAATTGCAATTCTTGCCCGTCTTTGAACCAGCGTACCAGAGCGTCACCTTTTGTTAATTCTATGTCGAAAGTCGCTTTCTCTCCTGTAGCTATAGTTATATCTTGCATTTTGATAATGATCTCTGGTGGTAATTCGACAACTGTAACTTCTGCTGTACACTCTTGATCTAGAAGAGCGCATGTGTATTCGCCTTCGTCGTGAACCGATGTATTTCTGATGAAAAGTTTTCTTACGGTACCATCTTTCATAAATTCTAGTTTTCCTTTGCTTGGTGTTAATAATTCATCATCTTTTCGCCATGTGACATCGGCCGTTTGGGATGTAATCTCAACCTCTAAAATCGCCACATCGCGTTCTTTTACCTCAAAATCTTGCAATTTCCTGACGAATTCTGGCTTGGTAGCCTTAACGATAACATTGCTAAACGTCATTTGGTTCTTGACAGTACATTTGTATGTTCCTGCGTCGGAAAGACCACTCTTCTTAATAAGTAACTTGTGTAGACGTCCTTCTTGAATTATCTCGCGATGATCCATCCCGCTAATTTCTTTATCATTGTGCCACCACATCGTAGAAACAGTATGGGATGTTTCACAGCTTAATTCTAGAGTTTTGTATTCGTTGACTATGATTTCATTTTGCAAATTCCTTGTGAAAAAAACTTTAGCAACATCTACTGTGACTTTTGCACCATGAGAAGCTTTTCCGACTGAATTACTAGCGACGCATTTATAATCTCCAGCATCGACTTCAGAGTCTGCATTTTTAATTTCAAGTAGGATGTTCTCACCATCATAACTTTCTATGATATTGACCGATTTATCAAGCGGTTTGTTGTTTCTAAGCCAAGTAACTTCGGGAACGGGATTACCAGTAACTTTGGCAACTAACTTAAAAGTATCTTTTTCCGGAACAATTACTTCTTGGAAACGTTTGGTGAATAATGGTGGTTCTGGAGCGCCACTTGGTACTTCTGAATTTCATAAATATAACAAAAAAATATTAAATATAACATTACAATAAAGAATCCATTTTATATGCAAAATTATAATTGTATTAAACAATTAGCAGCATAGCAATAATAAATACGTATCATACCCTTAACAAACGAGACACACTTGTCGTTTATACAATGTTGAAAATTAATGTTGACTTGTGATATGGAGTTAACTGAAAGCATATTAGTAAAGAAGCGCTTTGTAAAATAGCATCCGACAACAAGTTGACATATTTTATTGCCTAAGAAGACATTAAAATAAAACGCAATTTAGTTTCTTTCAGTTTATATTTCATTTGCGTCTATTAGCTGGTAGCAAATGCCAATTGTCGAAAAGGTGAATGAATTAATATAACGAAAAAGCGAACATAGCACGAAAAGGGCACATTTTCCGTCACCATAACCATGAGACTTACCGTAAAAATCAGAGTTGAAAGTTTAAAAAGAATAATCTTACATTTTTGACAATTTTTGATTGTAATTGACTCGGATCTATAATAGATTTTTAAGCCTTAAGCCATTTAAGAAATGGACGAATCACAGTCAATTATTCTCCTCGTATTCGATTGTATAATAATTGCAGGTCAATTTTGGCTTAAGCTTATGACTTAAAGCCTAAAACATCTATTGTAGATATGAATTAATTCTTACGGTACGTCTTAAGGTTTGCAAAGCACAGATATTTGCATAAAGTTATAATCTTCTTAGTCCTATTGCTCATGGCCGAGCGTAATGACTTAATTTTGTCATATGTCTGTGGTACGCTGGTTGTACACAGTCATATGGAACTTATAGTTTAACGTCGATTTGGAATAACAAAATTTTGTTAAAGAAGTGTTCTTAGCAAAAATACTCTTGGTGGGGTTGCTTCCTTTTGTGAGAGATACGAACATATAAAAATATTTTGGTTCTACTGAGAATCTCTAGCACAGTAGATCAGTGAGCTGTCTGATTTGCCAAGCTCGCTCTCAAAGCATAGGATGTATAAAGCATAAGAAAATCATCTAATTAGATGATTTAATTCTCTTATTTCATAGAAAGGAAGGAAATTAAGGACTTTGATTGATTCATTTTCTTATGCATTATGTATTATGCGTTATGTAAAATTCTGTGCTTCCTTTCTTGTTATGAAAAGTGTGCGCGACAGCTGTGGCACACTAGAAACGTAAAGCAATAAGAAAATATAAGTAATCATAATAGGAATGTAAGATGATAAGATCAGCAGTAGCAAATACAAAATATTGATTTGTTTATTGTTCATTTCTTGTTGCTTACGTTTCTTATGTGCCTTAAAACGAAATATTGAAATGTCGCAATGCGAAGAGGTAATTGCTCTTACTCTCAACAGTCAATGTAGCCCGAGTCTCAGCTTTGCCCATATCATTGATAGCTGTAACCGAATATTCCCCACTATCTGCTAATTGAGGTTGGATCAAATTTAATATGTTAACATGTCCGTCTTGCTTTAATTGCGAGCCCTTTAATGGTTTCCCGTTTTTGTACCATGTTATTTTCGGTGATGGATTACCGACTATTTGAGTCGATAAGACAACAGTCTCACCTTCTTTAACTATATAGGATTGTAACGGTTCTAAAATTTCAGGTGGTTCGCTCTTTCCAGTTTTTACCTGATCCATCAGAAGATGTATTAATTATATTATGTAATATAAAAATGAATTTACAAATATATGTTGTCGACCAACCTTTACAGGAATATCGATAGTAGCCTCGCCCTCTCTGTTTTTAGCAATAATCTTGTATCTTCCCTCCTGCTTCTTTTGAATTTTAGTGAAGTTTACGACACTGCAGTACATATGCATGTCACTTTCAGTTGCAACAATAACGTTCTGTTGACTAATTACTGGTATGTCTTTGTGATGCCATGTTATTTCTGGTTCCGGTACAGCGACCAATCGACATTCTAATATCACATCGTCACCTTCATTCACATATTTCGCTTTCGGCTTTCGGGAAAATGTAGGTGGTATACCCTCTAATATATCGGCTAAAGATGATTCTCTAAACAATTTAATAGTAATAATGGTTAATGATTATGTAATTAAAAAACCAAATATAATGTAATACAATATAACATAAAAGTTATAATTATAAAAATTATCAGGTTTGTTAAACACAAACACAGTATTTATTAGATGTGTATAATTAATACTGTGCTTGTTTCGTAAATTGTAATTATAATAGAGGAAAGTCGCCGATACTGACAGGCCTCCTAAGAAAATGCCCCCTCCTCTATTATAAATTAATTTCATTGTTATTAATATTGATAAAAACATGATCTATTTAATTTAGATAATTAAAGTAAAAACTCATAATTAATATGTTTGTGGCTTGTGTTCCTTTGTTTCTATATAAAATCAACTAAAATCAAATTCTACAAATGCAAAAATAAAATTCTTATGATTTTTTTTGCAAATTGCATCGTTTAAATAATAGTGATTATATTATTTATTACATCGTTTTATATATATATATATATATATATTTGTAATTTCCTAAATTATTTCTTAAATTTGATTTATGTTCTTTCTTTTTTATTTTTCCTATAATATGATTTTAAATATAAAATCAGGGTGCAGCGTAAATCAGCACACCTATAAGGCCGCCGACCATAAACTAACTTAATCTTCATAGTGTTACGTTATAGAAGGTATTCCAGAATTGACTGCAATGACTAAAAATCTATAGTGCATGTAACGTAAACTATGTGTAAATTTTTTTCGTTGGCAGTATAAATTTGCAATATAGCCATAGTGCCAGATAATCCTATTGAAGCTGAAGACAATCGTATTTATGGGAAAACCTTTAAAAAATAAATTGTGCGTTATATGTTTGCATTTTGCAGAATAGCAAAATATGCATGTAAATTAACAAAAAATATTTTACATCGTAGTAAAAAGATTCTAAAAAATCTTATATACATTCAGTTGTAAGTGCTTCGTACAGATAACTTCTGTGAAAGAAAAAGAATAAAAATATGTGACCTATTTATTACTATTACTATATTACTGCCTTCTGTGTCATTTTTTTGTCAGAATTTTTGCTTATCTTATCAAAAATAATTTTTGTAAAATTGTAAGCAATATTGTAAAAACTGCTATAGGTATTATTTAATAGAAGATATTCTAGTTCGTATTTATGTTTCTAAAGCTTTTATTTTAGTTTTTGTTTAAGAAATATTGTCCAAAAACAAAGTCAGTATCAACAGTGACCTTTCTCTATTAAAGTGTACATAGCTAATATTCAATTATAATATATACTAAAAAAAATAATCGATGATTTTAATCAAAGTAATTTGTCCAAGAGAATAAGAAATACGTACCTCGAAAGACTTTTTCTCGAGAGACCAGTAACATCTGATCCGTGATCTGACAAAGGAGCTTCGACAATAAGCTCAGTAGTACTGGACGCAAATCCTGCAGCATTTTTCGCAACGCAGGTAAAAGTGCCGGCATCTTCGGGAAAGACTTCCTTGATTATCAAGGTAGCAACGTTATCCTCGTCATAATATATTTGAAAATCAGTAGATGGTTTGATAATAGCAGTCTGGCGGAACCAGGTTATTTGTGGTCTTGGTATGCCTTCTACTTGACATTCGAATTGCACGGTGTAACCATCTAATGTATGAATTGGTTGTAATTTTTCAATAAATCTTGGTGCTGAGGCTTTTTCTCCGGGGGCAGGCTCTAAAAAAGATTAAATATATGATATGAATATTTTAAAAGTTTATGTCAAATTTCAAGTCAAATTGCAAGTGCGTATTATGAAAGTAATGCGATATGATTAATAAACTGTATCGCATTGTTTTACCAAATTTATCAATTTTGTAAATAAATTACTTACTCTCAAAGATTGGCAATTTGTCAATCTTTTCATGCAATTTTCGTTGCAAGTAAACAGTGTAACGTGCTTCATCCAATAAATATTGCGCCGGTACCCAACCTTTTTCTTCGGTCAAGTGTTTCTTTACAAACCACCAATCCTGATTAATATGATCTGTGGAAAGTAAATATTAATTAGAGTTGTTTTATCAATTGTGTACGTGTATATTTATATATAATATTTATATATATATATATTAGTACAGGGTGTTTTATTTTAACTGATACACTAATATATCTCGAGAATGAGATATGAGATTGAGAAAAGTTTCAGACAAAAGTTATGTGACATCGAGAGGGACATGAGATAATACATAATTGGTTTGACCTTGAGTGGCGTTGCCAAGGTCAAAGCAAGATCACTTTGAATTTTTTAAGTGGAACTTCCAATTTTTCATTACATATTCTTGTGGCTTACCTTGAGAGCTTTTCAAAAAGTTATAATAAAATATTTTTTGTAAAGCACTTTCCAAGTTATAAAGTTAGAAATATTACAATGTCGGCATTAGCATTACTCAAGATATTTAACCGAAAGCTAAAATCTTTCAAACAGATACCTTGAATAATACTAATGTCGACGGTATTTATAACTCTCTTTATAACTTTAACCTTATAACTCGTAAAGTACTTTATGAATAAATATTTTATTAGAATGCTTTAAAAAGCTCTCGAAATAAGATACAAAAATATATAATGAAAAAGGGAGGTTCTATTTAAAAAATTTAAAGTGACCTTATCCTGCGGAATTTTCTAAACGTTTTATCGACAATTGTTGCTCTCGTTAATTAACGATAGCCAATGAGAGCCGTACTTTCTTCCAGGATTGTCTTGCCATTGACTATCGCTAAGTAACGATAGCGACAATTATCGATAAGACGTTTAGACGTTTAGACTCGTTTCTACCTATGTAGATTAACTTTAATCTCGGCTCAACTTACTCTTCATCTTTTTATAAATCTAAAGATTAGAAAAAGACGAAGAGTAAGCTGAACCGAGATTAAAGTTACTCTACATTGGTGGAAATGAGCATTAGAGAATTTTTTTTTTTTTTTTTACTGATCCTGACCAATGCCGCCCATGGTTAAACCAATGATATCGTCTTATGTCCCCTTCGATGTTTCTGGTGAAAAAATTTCGGTAAAATTATTCCATGTTTTGGAACATTTGAGCGAAATTGCCGAAAATTCACTAAAATTTCACTAAAAATGAATTTTTGAGCTAACATACTGAAAAGACGTTGAAATTGAACTGAAGTTTCTCTGAATTTTTTTTGAAATTTTGCTGAAATTTCTCTGAAATTTTACTGAAATTTTGCTGAAAATGAATTTTTCAGCTAAAAATCGTCGAAATTAAACTGAAATTTTTCTGAAAAGTTGAAATTTTGCCGAAAAGTGCTCCAAAACGTGAAATTTTAGGGAAATTTTTTCATCAGGAGTCACATAACTTTAGTTTGAAATTCTTTTCGATCCCACGTCTCATTCTCGATATATTAATATGTTAATTAAAATGAAATACCTCGTATATATATATATATATATGTATTAGTAAAGTAAATGTGTGCGCGCGCGCGCGCGCGCGTGTGTGTGTGTGTGTGTTGGTGGTAACATTTTATGAAGAGTAGAGATCTTACCGATAATATAAATTTTTTCTCCTTCTACTAAATTAATAGCTTCTTCTGTTTCAGCAATATAAGAACAAATTGAAAACATTGTATCACCTTCCCGAACAACATATTCAAGTTCCTCCACTGAAAGGCATTAACAGGTTATTGAAAATAGAATGTAACAAAAAATATTATATTTTACATTAATGTAAATAAATATCATTAAGCGAACCTTCTTCGGATATTTCCTCTTCTTTAGTAATACTGAGAGAAGCTTCTTCTGCAATATATATATTAATAATAAATATTAAAATAAAATGAATGAAACTTATAATTACAATCATAACATAGCGAAGAGTTTTTTAGGCGGATATAGCTTTTATATAAGCAGAGACTCTGTTTGCTTATGAATCTGTACTATTTTAATCTGAACATAGGATTTTTTTATATTAATTATGTAAATAAATCTTTAGTTATTTTTATTACATTAAAAGATATAATTACAATATGTAAATACCGATATGCTTTTCATACGCAGCTTTTCATACGTAGCAAAAAACTTGAGGATAATAGGCAAAAAAAATTTTTTTAAGATAATATAGCAATTAGGCGAAGGAAAGGAAAAGTAAAGCACAAGAATAAAGCATAGATACTCATTCTCACAAGGGTCAAAATAATTATTAAAGTACATTAATTACTATTATAAGTGAAAGCATATTCTATTAATTTAATTGTAAGTGCTAATAAAGCATGAATGTGTGCCATCTGCAAACCTTCTTCGAAAGTGGAAATACGTCTCTTGCTTTTCAACTTCAGTGCCAAAGATTCAGTATCGGCTTCCTCGTATGAGTATTTTCTATCACGATTCAATTGCAATTTAACATCATCTTCAATTTCTTCTACAGTATATGGAGTTTTTTGTTTCTTTTTCTTTCGTCTTAGCGGTATATTCATTTCGTCAATATCAAGCTCTTCGATACTGTATTCTTCTTTCCCTTCTTCTTCCGATTCATTGATGACTTCTTCGATAATCGGATAATCTTCTATTTCTTGAATGATTTTGATTGTTTCCTCTCCAGTCTCTTCAGAATATGTAAGCGGCCGTCTTTTTGATTTTAGACGTACTTTACCGGACATAGAAATATCTTCTTCTTCATATGTATTTAACGAGATTTTAAATTCTTGTTCTACATCCTCTTTTCTTTTTGTAGAACGTGGTCTAAATGTTACATTCTCTACTTCAGTAACTTCTCTGATATCCGATCTAGACTTTTTCTTTGGTCGTAATTTACGTAAAGTAACATCTTCATAAATTTCTTCAATTGGTTTCGGAGCCTTTTTCGGTGGTTTGCGTTTCAAAGTAAATTCTTCAATTACTTCTTCAGGTTGTTCTATAATCTCGATTTTCCGAATAGTTAATTCCTTTGTAATTACATCTTCAATTTCTGGTACTGATTCTTTTTCTCTTAATAATATATCTGCAGATGTTTCTGCAATTTCTTCATCTACTTTCTTATCTTTTACAGGTTTCACAATAGTTACTTCCGACATTTCTTCTGTTTCGAACATCTTTTTTCTTGACTTAGGTTTTAAAGTAATTTCTTCAACTACATCTTCTTTTCTTTCTTCGACAATTAGTTTCTTAATTGTCACTTCGTCGGCAACTTCTTCTTTGAGAGATTTTTCTTTTGGTTTTCTTAATATTATTTTTTCAGAGATTTCTTCTGGCATTTGCTCTTCCTTTTTTAAAACGGGTTTCTTTACAGTTATTTCAGCCGCAAGTTCCTCTGTAATAGGCTTCTTCTTTGGTTTCTTTTTCAATGTAACTTCTTCAGTGATTTCTTTTATATCTTCTTTTCTTTCTTCAGTAACTGGTTTCTTAATCGTCACTTCATCTGCGAGTTCTTCCTTGAGACTTTCTTGTTTTGGTTTCTTTAGTATCACTTTTTCAGAGATTTCTTCCGGCATTTGCTCTTCCTCTTTTGGAATGGGTTTCTTTACAGTTATTTCGGCAGCAGGTTCCTCTGTAACGGGCTTCTTCTTTGGTTTCTTTTTCAACGTAACTTCTTCGGTGATTTCTTTTACATCTTCTTTTCTGTCTTCGATAACTGGTTTCTTAATCGTCACTTCATCTGCGAGATCTTCCTTGAGAATTTCTTGTTTTGGTTTCTTTAGTACCACTTTTTCAGAGATTTCTTCCGGCATTTGCTCTTTCTCTTTTGGAACAGGTTTCTTTATAGTTATTTCAGCAGCAGATTCCTCTGTAACGGGCATTTTCTTTGGTTTCTTTTTTAACGTAACTTCTTCTGTGACTTCTTTTACATCTTCTTCTCTTTCTTCAATAACTGGTTTCTTAATCGTCACTTCATCTGCGAGTTCTTCTTTGAGAATTTCTCGTTTTGGTTTCTTTAGTACCACTTTTTCAGAGATTTCTTCCGGCATTTGCTCTTCCTCTTTTGGAACGGGTTTCTTTACAGTTATTTCAGCAGCAGATTCCTCTGTAACGGGCATTTTCTTTGGTTTCTTTTTTAACGTAACTTCTTCTGTGACTTCTTTTACATCTTCTTCTCTTTCTTCAATAACTGGTTTCTTAATCGTCACTTCATCTGCGAGTTCTTCTTTGAGAATTTCTCGTTTTGGTTTCTTTAGTACCACTTTTTTAGAGATTTCTTCCGGCATTTGCTCTTCCTCTTTTGGAACGGGTTTCTTTACAGTTATTTCAGCAGCAGATTCCTCTGTAACGGGCATTTTCTTTGGTTTCTTTTTTAACGTAACTTCTTCTGTGACTTCTTTTACATCTTCTTCTCTTTCTTCAATAACTGGTTTCTTAATCGTCACTTCATCTGCGAGTTCTTCTTTGAGAATTTCTCGTTTTGGTTTCTTTAGTACCACTTTTTTAGAGATTTCTTCCGGCATTTGCTCTTCCTCTTTTGGGACGGGTTTCTTTACAGTTATTTCAGCAGCAGGTTCTTCTGTAACGGGCTTCTTCTTTGGTTTCGTTTTCAACGTAACTTCTTCTGTGACTTCTTTTACATCTTCTTCTCTTTCTTCAATAACTGGTTTCTTAATCGTCACTTCATCTGCGAGTTCTTCTTTGAGAATGTCTCGTTTTGGTTTCTTTAGTACCACTTTTTTAGAGATTTCTTCCGGCATTTGCTCTTCCTCTTTTGGAACGAGTTTCTTTACAGTTATTTCAGCAGCAGATTCCTCTGTAACAGGCTTTTTCTTTGGTTTCTTTTTCAACGTAACTTCTTCAGTGATTTCTTCAGTGACTTCTTTTACATCTTCTTTTCTTTCTTCGACAATAGGTTTCTTAAGTGTCACTTCATTTGCGATTTCTTCCTTGAGAATTTCTTGTTTTGGTTTCTTTAGTAACACTTTTTCAGAGATTTCTTCCGGCAATTGCTCTTCCTCTTTTGGAATGGGTTTCTTTACAGTTATTTCTGCAGCAGATTCGTCTGTAACGGGTTTTTTCTTTGGTTTCTTTTTAAATGTAACTTCCTCAGTTTCTTCTTTTCTTTTTTCAATAATTAATTTTTCAATCGTTACTTCGTCAGTGACTTCCTCCTTGACAGATTCTTCTTTTGGTTTCTTTAGTACTATTTTTTCAGAGATTTCTTCCGGCATTTGTTCTTTCTCTTTTGGACCGGGTTCTTTTACAACTATTTCAGCAGCAAGGTCATCGGTTATGGACTTTTTCTTTGGTTTTTTCTTTACTGTAATTTCTTCAATGATTTCTTTGGCATCTTCTTTCTTCTCCTTAATAATCGGTTTTGTAATTGATATTTCAGCTTCTATTTTGTCTTCAGCAAACTGCTTTGGTTTTTTTAATAACACTTCTTGAGAAATATCTAATTCACCTTGCTGTTCTTTTGGTTCTGACTTCTTTCTTTTTACAATTAATTCTTCTGTTGGTATCTCTTGCTTTTCTTCAGGAATATTTTTTAACATAGTATCTTCACTACTGTCCTGTGGTTTTATTTCTTTCTCTTTGATCTTTTTCTGTTTTTTCTTCTGTTTTACTGTAAAGTCATCAGTAATGTTTTTGGGCGTTGTTGGTATAATGTCTTTTTCCTTAGTTGGCTGTTCTTCTGTGCTTTCTTCTTCGGGTTTAGTTTTTGTCCAGCCTTTTAAAATTATTGTTTCAGGTTCATCTTCGGGTTTTTCTGAAGTTGGTATTCGGAAATTGATCTCGGGTTCTTCTTCAGGTTCCTGTGGTTTTGGTATACCCTTTATTAAAGGAATTTGCTCCATATCTTGTTCAGGTTTTTTTCTCTTAAATGGTTTATATGACTTCGAGTCAGGTTCAGTTTCTGGTTTTTTGGTTATTTCGAATTCTTCAGGTATATATTTTTCAATTTCTGGCTTATCAAATTTTATTGGTTTGAATTCATCAAATGTGAATACTTTTTGAGGTTGTTGTTCTTTTTCTAGAGGCGTATCGTCTATGGATTCTTTTATTTTAGGTGCTTCTTTATTTTCTGTTACTTGTTCTAATTTCTTTATCGGTATTTTCTTTAGTTTGATCTCTTCCGGTATAATTTTATCTTCTTGTTTTATTTCACCTTTTCCAATAATGAGCTTTTGTGGTTCTTCGAACGTTTCCTGTAACTTTTTGGGTGTCCGTTCATAAATAGATTTATCTTCTACTTGTTCTAAAGGAACCTTTTTTAGTTCTTCAAACTCTTTATCTAATTTCTCTAATTCAATCAAATCTTTCTCTAAGACTTTAGGTTTTTTGTATTTCTTCTTTATAACTTGTAATGCTTCTTCTGTATTTCTAGATAAAATGCCAACTTGTATTGGATTTTTTTCTATATACGTAACTTTTGGTATTTGTAATTGTGCCGGATAGTCATCGATAAATGTAACTCTACTTCGTAACATGATTTTAGGAAATATTGGTTCAATTATTTCTTTTTTCTTAACAATTGGTACTTTTTTCAATTTAATCGTGCCAAATTGGACTGTTTCTTGCATTGGTTCAATATATTTTAATTTTGTAGGTTTGATTTCTTTTCTTTCAATTTTCTGTGGAACTAATTTTTGCACAGATTCAGGCAATATTTTCTTTTCTTTCTTCTTTTTTAATGGCTCCCATTGAATTTTTTCAGGCATTGGTTCTAATACAGGTCTTTCATACTCAGGTTCTATCCATTCCTCTATATCATCTTTCTTGACGATTTTTTTCTTCTTTTTCTTTATAACTTTCTTTTCTTTTATTTTCTCGATAGGTTTAAGCTCCATTGGTTTTTCTTCTGCAGTAGACGTAATTTCTTCTTTTAGTTTTTCAAATTCCTTTATTTTTTCGGGGTGTATTGTTTTTATTTCCTTCAATTCATCTTCGGGTTTTTTCTCCTTTAAAGTATCTTCCATTTTAACTTCTGGAATTATTTCTGTCACTTCTGTAGTTTCTAATGCAACTTTCTCTATTTTTATTTGTTCTAATTTAGGTTGGCTGGATGTTACTTTTTCTACTATTTCTTCTTCCTGTTTTTTTTCTGGAGTGATCTCTTTTATTTCGATAGGAACTATTTCTCTTTCTTTTTCTTCTTTAATGTCAGTCTTTCTAAGTTTTGTTTTTTTCTTTTTTGTTATTTCACCATCTGCTACAGCTAGATCAACTTTAGTAATTTCAATAATTTCTATTGGTGTAACACTTGATTCTGCTTCCTCTTCAGCAAATGTTTTTTCTGTGATGAATTCTTTAGGTACTATTTCTGTTGTTACTTCTGAAATTTCAATACTTTCTTGTAAAAGCACATCCTTTTTAGCCTTTTCCTTTTTGGGCTTTTTCATTTTTATATCCTCTACTGCTTCCTCTGGTCGGTCTTCCTTTATTTCTATAGCTTTTACACTATCATCTATCTTTTCTGGCATAATTTGCTCTTCTTGTGTTTTATTTTTATCAATTTCATTGGCTATGATTTCGGAAATAATTTCCGTAGTTTCTATTTCCTCATTTGCAATTATTATTTCTCCCGCTTTTTCTTGTGTTGGTTTTTCTAATGTAATATCTTCAACAATTTCTTCTTTAACTTGTTGTTTACTTGTATGTACTGATTTAATCCTTTTCGGTGCTTTCTTCACAGTAACTTCTTTTATATCAACTTGTGGTTCCTCTTCTTTCACTGGCAGTATCGTTTCTTTCACTGGTTTTATTATTTCAAGAAGATCCTCAGTAGAAGTGTCCGGAATTGCCTCAGTAACTTCAATTCCTTCTTTTGTTATAATAGTCAATTTTATTTCTTCTTCTTTTGGTTTTTTGTCCTGTATTTCTTTAGTAATTTCGATAGTAATTTGTTCCTGCACAGGAATCGTGTTTGTTTCTTCCCGTAAAATTGTCTTTATTGGGCTTTCTTCTTTTTTAATTTCATGTATCGCAGCTTCTCTTGGTATAGCTTCAACTTCTGTGAATTTAGTAATGGAGGATTCAGTTAAGATTTGCACAACTTCGATACTTTCTCTAGGAGTGAATATAGTTTGAGCTTGTTCTATTTCTGGTTTATCTAAAACAATTTCTTCAACAATTTCTTGTAGCACATTATCTTCATGAGATTTTTCCTTTTTTCTCTTTATTTTCTTTTCTATTGGTGTTTCGATAAGTTCGACTATTTTTTCTTTAGCAATTATTTGAGTATCTTCAATTGGTTTTTGATCAATTTTCTCCTCAGGTACTTTAACAATTGATTGCTGTGTATCTATTTTTGTAACTGTAACAATTTCTTTTCTGTCTTCCACGATAGTTTTAGCCTTTTCTTTCTTTGGCATGTCCGTTTGGATTTCTTCTACGGCTCCCTCAAGAACGTCAGCAGTGTCTATTATATGTTCCTTTTTCTTAATTATTTTTTTGGATGGCATTTCAACAATTTCCTCTGATTTTATTTCCTCGATTACCTTGACACGTTCATCCTTTTTCTTTGGTACTTTTTTTGTCTTAATGTCTTTCTGTATCGGTTTTTCAATATTCTCGTTCTCTTCTATGATAGATATTTTCTTTTTTTCTATTGGTGGTTCCTTGAGATCTATTTTTGTAATTTCTACCGATTCTTCTTTATGTATAAGGAGTTGAGCTTTTTGAAACTCTATTTCTTTTGTTACAACTTCTTCTATAATTTCTTCAGGTATATCGTAAATTGATTCTTTTTCCTGTAAAAATATGATGAGAATACGAAATATATTATAATATACTAAAGCAAATTTTTATATAGAGCAAGTTTTTTATATTCTCTCTAGCTTACCTGATACAGCCCTTCTTCTCTGGTACCTAAAAAACAAAGGTAAGAAATCAGATTAAAAAAAAGATTACTAAAAATTTTCTTAACTGATAATTGTGTTTTAATACGTGATTTAATAATATTAATATTTTTATGTATAATATTAGTATCTTCAGACAAGTATATTATCAGACAATAATTGATAGTTGTTTTATCTTTCCTTTCTTTCAATTTTAATAAGATGTCTATTCATTGTGTATATAAAATGAATTGCAGAGGAGAGATGTATGTTTTAGTAGGACGCAAGAATTAGTAAACGCTAAAAGTAAAAACGAAACTTACCTTCCGAAGTCTTTTTACTGATTTTAGATTTTATCATTTCATCGTATTTAATGTGTATTTCAGGTGTAGTGTCTGCGTGAAGATTTGTAACTTTTGCCCCCTGTTCCTCTTTGTCCTCATTACTTATAATTATTCCTTTGGTACTTCCTTGTTTAATAATTTTCTTTTTAATCTTCTTTGGTTTTTCTCCTTTTATTGGCTTTTCAATTAATGTATCTCTTTTTATATTTTCTTCTTCAATTTTGACGAAATCAGGTTGTAAAGGTAATAAAGTTTCTTCAACAATTTCTTCGATTGGGCCAACCGTAATTGATGTTACGGGTGACTTATCATTTTCTTCTACAGTTATTTCTTCAATCACTTGTCCTTTACGTTTAATAATTTGCTTTTTAATGATTTTTTTCGGTTTTTTCTTTCCAACGTCTATTTCAGTTACTTTTGTTTCCTCCCTTACTTCTTCCTTTTCACAAGGTTTTACAAATTTGGGATGAGATAGTGAAAGAACAGTTTTCTCTACGATTTCTTCTAATGGACCTTCTGTAATTGTTGTTACAGGTAGTTGTCCTTGTTCCTCTATAGTTGTTTCTTGTGTTACCTGCTGTTTCTGTCCTTTCTGTTTAATAATTTTCTTTGTAGTAATCTTTTTCGGTTTTTCACCCTCAATTATTTCTTCAGTTATTGTTACTTGCTCTCTTATGTCTTCTTCTTCAAAGGGCTTGGCGAATTCGGATTGTGGCATAGAATATTCAGTTTCCTCAACGATTTCTTCTAATGGACCTTCTGTAATTGTTGTTACAGATAATTGTCCTTGTTCCTCTACAGTTGTTTCCTGCTGTTTCTGTCTTTTACGTTTAATAATTTTCTTCGTAATAATCTTTTTCGGTTGTTCACCCTCAATTATTTCTTCAGTTACTGTTACTTGCTCCTTTATGTCTTCTTCTTCAAAGGGCTTAGCGAATTCGGATTGTAATAGAGGAAGTACAGTTTCTTCAACAACTTCTTCTACTGGACTTTCCATGACTGTTGTTACAGGTAATTGACCCTTTTCCTTTATGGTTGTCTCTTCTGTCACTTGCTGTTTCTGTCCTTTACGTTTAATAATTTTCTTCGTAGTAATCTTTTTCGGTTTTTCACCCTCAATTATTTCTTCAGTTACTGTTACTTGCTCCTTTATGTCTTCTTCTTCAAAGGGCTTAGCGAATTCGGATTGTAATAGAGGAAGTACAGTTTCTTCAACAACTTCTTCTACTGGACTTTCCATGACTGTTGTTACAGGTAGTTGACCCTTTTCCTCTATGGTTGTCTCTTCTGTCACTTGCTGTTTCTGTCCTTTACGTTTAATAATTTTCTTCGTAGTAATCTTTTTCGGTTTTTCACCCTCAATTATTTCTTCAGTTATTGTTACTTGCTCTCTTATGTCTTCTTCTTCAAAGGGCTTAGCGAATTCGGATTGTAATAGAGGAAGTACAGTTTCTTCAACAACTTCTTCTACTGGACTTTCCATGACTGTTGTTACAGGTAGTTGACCCTTTTCCTCTATGGTTGTCTCTTCTGTCACTTGCTGTTTCTGTCCTTTACGTTTAATAATTTTCTTCGTAGTAATCTTTTTCGGTTTTTCACCCTCAATTATTTCTTCAGTTACTGTTACTTGCTCCTTTATGTCTTCTTCTTCAAAGGGCTTAGCGAATTCGGATTGTAATAGAGGAAGTACAGTTTCTTCAACAACTTCTTCTACTGGACTTTCCATGACTGTTGTTACAGGTAGTTGATCCTTTTCCTCTATGGTTGTCTCTTCTGTCACTTGCTGTTTCTGTCCTTTACGTTTAATAATTTTCTTCGTAGTAATCTTTTTCGGTTTTTCACCCTCAATTATTTCTTCAGTTACTGTTACTTGCTCCTTTATGTCTTCTTCTTCAAAGGGCTTAGCGAATTCGGATTGTAATAGAGGAAGTACAGTTTCTTCAACAACTTCTTCTACTGGACTTTCCATGACTGTTGTTACAGGTAGTTGACCCTTTTCCTCTATAGTTGTCTCTTCTGTTACTTGCTGTTTCTGTCCTTTACGTTTAATAATTTTCTTCGTAGTAATCTTTTTCGGTTTTTCACCCTCAATTATTTCTTCAGTTACTGTTACTTGCTCCTTTATGTCTTCTTCTTCAAAGGGCTTAGCGAATTCGGATTGTAATAGAGGAAGTACAGTTTCTTCAACAACTTCTTCTACTGGACTTTCCATGACTGTTGTTACAGGTAGTTGACCCTTTTCCTCTATAGTTGTCTCTTCTGTTACTTGCTGTTTCTGTCCTTTACGTTTAATAATTTTCTTCGTAGTAATCTTTTTCGGTTTTTCACCCTCAATTATTTCTTCAGTTACTGTTACTTGCTCCTTTATGTCTTCTTCTTCAAAGGGCTTAGCGAATTCGGATTGTAATAGAGGAAGTACAGTTTCTTCAACAACTTCTTCTACTGGACTTTCCATGACTGTTGTTACAGGTAGTTGTTCCTGTTCCTGTATAGTTGTTTCTTCCGTTACCTGTTGTTTTTGTCCTTTGCGTTTAATAATTTTCTTTTTAGTGATTTTTTTCGGCTTCTTTCCTTCGATTGCTTCTTCAGTTACTTGCTCTCGTATTTCTTCTTCTTCATCATGTTTGGCGAATTCAGGTTGAGTGGGAGTAAATACAATTTCTTCTACTGTATCTTCCGTAACTATTGTCACAGGTAGTTGTTTCTGTTCCTCTGTAGTTGTTTCTTCCGTTACCTGCTCCTTCTGTCCTTTATGTTTAATTATTTTGTTTTTAGTGATTCTTTTCGGCTTCTTTTCTTCGATTACTTCTTTAGTTACTGTTACTTGCTCCTTGTCTTCCTCCTCTTCAAGAGGCTTAGCGAATTCAGGTTGTAGTGAAGGAATGATTTCTGCGACAATTTCTTTTACCATACCTTCCGTAATTGTTGTTATAGGTAGTTGTCCCTTTTCCTCTATTGTTATCTCTTCTGTCACTTGTTCCTGTCCTTTACGTTTAATAACTTTCTTTTTAGTGATTTTTTTCGGTTCTTTTCCTTCAATTAATTTTTCAATCACTATAACTAGCTCCGTCTCTCTTATTTCCTCCTCTTCAAGGAGCTTTGCAAATTCAGCCTGTGGCAAAAGGAATACAGTTTCTTCGGCAATTTCTTCTACTGGACTTTCTATAACTGTTGTTACAGGTAATTGTCTCTTTTCCTTTATAGTTGTTTCTTCTGACACTTGTTCTTTCTGCCTTTTGCGTTTAATTATTTTGTTTTTAGTGGTCTTTTTCGGTTTTTTTCCTTCGATTACTTCTTCAGTCACTGTTACTTGCTCCCTTGTTTCTTCATCTTCAATGGGCTTGATGAATTCTACATGTGATGTAGGAAGAATAATTTCTTCAATGATTTCCTCCACTGGTCTCTCTGTAACTGTAGTTATAGGTAATCGTCCTTCTTCTTCTATAGTTATTTCTTCGATCACTTGCTGTTTCTGTCCTTTACGTTTGATAATTTTTTTCTTAATTATTTTCTGGGGTTTCTTCTCCTCCACTATTTCAGTTACTGTTACTTCCTCTTTTACCTCTTCCTTTTCAAGGGGTTCTGTGAATTCAGAAGGTACTAGTGATAGATCAGATTCTTGAATGACTTCTTCTACTGGACCTTCTGTAATTGTTGTTACAGGTATTTGTCCTTTTTCCTCTATTGTTGTTTCTTCTGTTACCTGCTGTTTCTTTCCTTTACGTTTAATGATTTTCTTTTTAATTATCTTTTTTGGTTCCTTTCCTTCGATTACCTCTTCAGTCACTGTTATTTGTTTCTTTATTTCTTCCTGTTCAAAGGGTTTGAATTTAGAATATAGTACAGGAGAAACGATTTTTTCTTTTGGTTTATCTATAGGTGCACTTATTAATAATTGTTTTTCTTCTATAACTGCTATTTCTCGATTTTGTACTACTGGTTTTATTTCTTCTTGATTTTGAGTGCCTTCTTCTAATTCTTCAATTTTTGTTGGTACTATTTCTTCTACTTCTATTTCTCCTGTTACTTCTTCGATGTGCATAAATTGTTTTTTTGGTATAGGTGGTACTTGTGGTTCTATGTCTTCTATTTCTTCTTCAATTACTACAATTTTTTCTTCTTCTGATTTAGTTTTTGGTTTCTTTGTACGAATTATAGTTTTCTTTGTTTTAATCGCTGCCATTTCATTTTCTTTAGTGCCGGTTTTAAATTTTGTGGTATATTCTTCAATTACTTCAGTATCAGATTCATTTGTTGGTTGTTTTGTTTCGTGTATTGTGGTGTGTTGTGTGACTGTGATATGATGTTGTTGCTCTGATGCTTCTGTAGTTTCTGAAATGTACACAGAAAAAGTGTGGTATATGATTAAATTGTTGTATGTAAAATGTTTTGTTGGTCTGCCATTATTTGAATTTTGTTGTTGTATTAGTATTATATTTATAATGTTTAATAATATATTAGACGCAAATAATGGCTGCGTTCAGCGGACTCAACTATTGAGTCCGTTGGACGCAGTCAATGTATTGACAAATTTTTTATTATAATTTATTACTTGAATGTTGGGTATGAAGCATGGTGAAATCAGCTGCTAGTTGACTAGTATATGTATAAGGTAATATATATTCTTATCTAAATGTCAGTAAATTATAATTCTGTATTTTATGAGTTCTGTACTTACCGAAATAATCTATAACAAGATCGTAATGTTGAATCGAACATTAGTTTGTTAAATATTTGCATTAAGTGCCTACATAATTTGTTTGATTTATTAAATATTACGATCATTGTTTAACCGAATCGAATTTCTTCAAATGTCGCATGTGAATTATCAATGCAATCTATCATGTTACCTTTCTATATGTATAATACTTACCTAAAATTTTTTCTAAGTAGTCGGCTTCAAAAGATGTGCTTGCTATTTTTGGTATTATTGGAATTACGGGTTCGGACAGATTTGATTCAATTTCAGTAATGTGTTGCAATTCAGTAACAATTATACTTTGTTTTTCATCTTTTACATCATGAGCTGTTTTACTGTCTGGTTTTGGAACACTGAATTCCGATACTACATTTTCCGGATGAATTTCAGTTTTTAGAGCAACTTTTCGTTCAATTATATCCGCTTGCGCGATTTCTTCCTTAGCGAGACCTTTGACAACTTCTTTTGCTTCTTTCTCTGTAGGAGTTATTTGGGTAACTTCAACACCTTCGGAAATGCGAAATGAAACTTCGGCTGAAGCACTTGCTACCACTTTTTCAACGATAATAGAACGTTCACTTTCATGAGGAATCGTTTCTATTTGTTGTACACTCTCAAATGGTATTTGTTCTGCTGTTATTTTCTTTACATCAGGTTTAACGAATTCCATCATTTCCTTCGTTGATGATGATGCAATCACATGAGATTTTTCAGCAACTGCCATGCTTAACATGCTTTGATCGGCTATTTGTTTAGTTATTTCTTCCAAACTTTTTACGTCTTCTTTTATTTCTTCCTCCGTAGCGATTACTTGGATAACTTCGACTCCTTCGGAAATGCGGAATGACACATCAGCTGTTGCGCTTGTCATTTCTTTGTCAGGAACAAATAAATGTTCGCTTTCGTGAGAAATTGATTCAATTTGTTGTATGCCTTCAAATGGTATTTGTTCTGGAATGATTTTCTTTTCCTCAGGTTTGGCAGATACTATAATTTCCTCTGTTTCTGATGATGTAATTACTTGAGATTTTTGAGCAACGGGCATACTTAACATATTTTGTTCGGCTACTTGTTTAGTTGCTTCTTTTACACTTTTTACAACATCCTTTGTTTCCTCTTCCGTAGCGGTTACTTGAATAACTTTGACGCCTTCAGAAACGCGGAATGAAACATCAGCCTTTGAACTTGGCGTTTTCTTTTCAGGGAGAAGCAAACTTTCTCTTTCATGAAGAATTGATTCGGTTTGTAGTACACTCTCGAACGGTATTTGTTCTGGAATGATTTTCTTCTCCTCAGGCTTGGCAGATACTATAATTTCCTCTGTTTCTGATGATGTAATTACTTGAGATTTTTGAGCAACTGGCATACTCAGCATGCTCTGCTCGGCTACTTGTTTAGTTGTTTCTTCCAAACCTTTTACGATTTCTTTAGTTTCCTTCTCCGTAGTGGTTACTTGGATAACTTCGACTCCTTCAGAAACTCGGAATGAAACATCGGCTTTTGTACTTGGTGTCTTTTCATCTGGGAGAAGCAAACGTTCTCTTTCATGAGGAATTGCTTCAATCTGTTGTATGCTCTCGAATGGTATTTGCTCTGGAATGACTTTCTTTTCTTCAGGTTTGGCAGACACTATAATTTCTTCTGTTTCTGATGATGTAATTACTTGAGATTTTTGAGCAACGGGCATACTTAACATGCTCTGTTCGGCTACTTGTTTAGTTGCTTCTTCTACACTTTTAGCAACATCCTTCGTTTCCTCTTCCGTAGCGGTTACTTGAATAACTTTAACGCCTTCAGAAACGGCGAATAAAATATCGGCTTTTGTACTTGGCGTTTTCTTATCGGGGAGAAGCAAACTTTCTCTTTCATGAAGAATTGATTCGGTTTGTAGTATACTTTCGAACGGTATTTGTTCTGGAATAATTTTCTTTACTTCAGTCTTTGAAGATTCTTTAATTTCTTCTGTTGTTGATGACGAAACCACCTGGATTTTTTCAGCAACGGACATACTTAACATGCTTTGTTCGGCTACTTGTTTAATTGCTTCTTCCACACTTTTTACAACTTCTTTTGTTTCATCCTCCGTAGCGGTTACTTGGATAACTTCGACTCCTTCAGAAAAACGGAATGAAACATCAGCTTTTGTAATTGGTGTTTTCTTATCGAAAAGAAGCGAACTTTCTTTTTCATGAAGAATTGATTCGGTTTGTAGTACACTCTCGAACGGTATTTGTTCTGGAATGATTTTCTTTTCCTCAGGTTTGGCAGACACTATAATTTCCTCTGTTTCTGATGATATAATTACTTGAGATTTTTGAGCAACGGGCATACTTAACATGCTCTGTTCTGCTACTTGTTTAGTTGCTTCTTCTACACTTTCAGCAACATCCTTCGTTTCCTCTTCCGTAGCGGTTACTTGAATAACTTTAACGCCTTCAGAAACGCGGAATGAAATATCGGCCTTTGTACTTGGCGTTTTCTTATCGGGGAGAAGCAAACTTTCTCTTTCATGAAGAATTGATTCGGTTTGTAGTATACTTTCGAACGGTATTTGTTCTGGAATAATTTTCTTTACCTCAGGCTTTGAAGATTCTCTAATTTCCTCCGTTGTTGATGATGGAACCACTTGGGTTTTTTCAGCAACAGACATACTTAACAAGCTCTGCTCGGCTACTTGTTTAGTTGCTTCTTCTACACTTTTTGCAACTTCTTTTATTTCTTTCTCCGTGGATGTTACTTGAATAACTTCGACACCTTCGGAAACACGGAATGAAACATCGGCCTTTGTACTTGGCGTTTTCTTATCGGGGAGAAGCAAACTTTCTCTTTCATGAGTAATTGATTCGATTTGTTGTATACTTTCAAACGGTATTTGTTCGGGTATTATCTTCTTTATCTCTGGTTTAACAGGCTCTTTCATCTCTTCTGTTGTTGATGATGTAACTACTTGAGATTGTTCTACAACGAACATACCTAACATACTCTGATCAGCTTTTTGTTTAGTTGTTTCTTCTTTTACAACTTCTTTTATTTCCTTTTCTGTAGCGGTTATTTGTATAACTTTGATGCCTTCGGAAACGCGGAATGTAATATCGGCCGTTGCGATTGATGTTTCTCTATCCGGAAGAAGCGAGCGTTCGCTTTCATGAGGAATTGATTCAATTTGTTGTATACTCTCAAATGGTATCTGTTCCGGAATTATTCTTTTCGTTTCAGGTTTAATAGATTCCATCATTTCTTCTGTTGTTGAGGATGCAATCATTTGAGATTTTTGAGCAACTGGCATACTCAGCATGCTCTGCTCGGCTACTTGTTTTGTTTCTTCCAAGCCTTTTACGATTTCTTTAGTTTCCTTCTCCGTAGTGGTTACTTGGATAACTTCGACTCCTTCAGAAAAACGGAATGAAACATCAGCTTTTGTAATTGGTGTTTTCTTATCGAAAAGAAGCGAACTTTCTTTTTCATGAAGAATTGATTCGGTTTGTAGTACACTCTCGAACGGTATTTGTTCTGGAATGATTTTCTTTTCCTCAGGTTTGGCAGACACTATAATTTCCTCTGTTTCTGATGATATAATTACTTGAGATTTTTGAGCAACGGGCATACTTAACATGCTCTGTTCGGCTACTTGTTTAGTTGCTTCTTCTACACTTTTAGCAACATCCTTCGTTTCCTCTTCCGTAGCGGTTACTTGAATAACTTTAACGCCTTCAGAAACGGCGAATGAAATATCGGCTTTTGTACTTGGCGTTTTCTTATCGGGGAAAAGCAAACTTTCTCTTTCATGAAGAATTGATTCGGTTTGTAGTATACTTTCGAACGGTATTTGTTCTGGAATAATTTTCTTTACATCAGGCTTTGAAGATTCTTTAATTTCCTCCGTTGTCGATGATGTAACTACTTGAGTTTTTTCAGCAACGGACATGCTTAACATATCTTGCTCCGCTACTTGTTTAGTTACTTGTTTCACACTTTTTACAACTTCTTTTGTTTCCTCCTCCGTAGCAGTTACTTGAATAATTTCGACGCCTTCGGAAACACGGAATGAAACATCGGCTTTTGTACTTGGTATCTTCTTATCAGGGAGAAGCGTGTGCTCACTTTCATTAGGGATTGACTCGGACTGCTGTATGCTTTCAAATGGTATTTGTTTCGGTATTATTGTCTTTATTTCAGGTTTATCAAATTCTATAATTTCTTCCGTTGTTGACGACGCAATTACTTGAGACTGTTCTGCAACGCGTATGCCCAGTATATTTTGCTCTGCTGTCTGTTTAATTGCTTCTTCTTTTTTTACTATTTCTTTTGTTTCTTTTTCAGTAGCTGTTATTTGAATAACTTCGACTCCTTCGGAAACGCGGAATGAAACGTCAGCCATTGTAGTTGGTACTTTCTTATCTATGAAAAGTGAACGTTCACTTTCATGAGGAATTGATTCAACCAGTTGTATACTTTCAAACGGTATTTGTTCCGGTATTATTCTCTTTATCTCAGGTTTTGTAGATTCTACCATTTCTTTTGTTGTTGATGAAGTAATAGTTTGAGATTGTTCTGCAACACGCATAGTCGGTATCGTTTGTTCAGCTATCTGTTTCGTTGCTTTTTCCAAATTTTCTATAATGTTTTTCGTTTCCTCTTCCGTAGCGGTTACCTGAATAACTTCGACGCCTTCAGAAACGCGAAATGTAATATCGGCCGTTGCAGTAGCTATATCTTTTTCAGAAACAATCGAACTTTCTCTTTCGTGAGAAATCGATTCAGTTTGTTGTATACTTTCAAACGGTATTTGTTCTGGTATTATTTTCTTTATTTCCGGTTTAACGGACTCAATCATGTTCTCTGTTGTTGACGATGTAATTACTTGTGACTGTTCTGCAATGCCCATGCTCAACACGCTCTGCTCGGCTATTTGTTGATTTGCTTCTTCCAAACTTTTTATTACTTCTTTTGCTTCTTTCTCCGTAGCAGTTACTTGGAAAACTTCGATGCCTTCGGAAACGCGGAATAAAATATCAGCTTTTTTACTTGGTGTCTTCTTATCAGGAAGAAGCGAATGCTCGCTTTCGTGGGGAATTGATTCAATTTGCTGTATGCTTACATACGGTATTTGTTCGGGTATTATTTTCTTTATCTCTGGCTTAATAAATGCCATCATCTCTTCTGTTGTTGATGATGTAATTACCTGAGACTTTTCTGCAACGTAAATACTCTGCATTCTTTCTTCAGCTATCTGTTTAGTTGCTTCTTCTAGGCTTTTAACAATCTCCTTTGTTTCCTTCTCTGTTGCGGTTACTTGAATAATTTCGACACCTTCAGAAACGCCGAATGAAACCTCGGCTGTGGTACTTGGTATCTTTTTATCGGGAAGAAATGAACTTTCGCTTTCATGAACAATTGACTCAATTTTTTGTATACTCTCAAAAGGTATTTGTTCTGGTGTTAACTTTTTTATCAGAGGTTTAGCTGACTCTGCCATCTCCTCCGTTGTCAACGACGCAAACACTTGCGATTTCTCGGCAACGCGCATGCCTAGCATAGTTTTTTCGGCTATTTGTTTAGTTGGTTCATCTGGTGCAAGTAATTCTTTTTCTGCTTCATTATAAGATACTTCAAAGATCGACAATGACATTAGTTCTTCTAAGTTTGGTTTACCTATCTGTTCTTCGGGAATTTGTGATCTTGCAAGCTCTTCAACGTTACTCACTGTCAAAACTTCTGATATCTCCGCGACTTCTATGCCGGGTAGTTTTGGGAGAGCTTTTTGCTGTTTTGGAATCTCTGGTCTCAGTAATTCTTGTTCTGTATCAGTAGAAATTACTTCAGACACAGTAACAGAACTCATTTCTTCAATGCTTGGTTTTCCTTTTTGATCATTTTTTTCCTTCAATTCAGGTATTTGTTCTACAGTTGCAGCGGTTATAATTTCGATTTTCTGAGCTATTTCTCTACCTAAGAAACATGGTATGGCTGTTTTCTCTTCTAATTTTTCTAAACTTGGCAGTTGTGCTTCTATCTCTGTAGATATTACTTGAGAAACCAAAAGTGAAGAAAGTTCGTCTAGTTGTGGTTTACCTTTCTGTTTTGTTGGACTTTTAGGTCTCGAAAGTTCTTCAGCATTTGTGACAGTAAGCACCTGAGAAGTCTCGGCAATTTCTCTACCAGACATCATAGGCATCGCAGTGAGTCTGTTAGGTGCAATGGAACTCTCGAAAGTTTCTTCGGTTTCATGAGATAATATTTGAGATATAGTCAAGGACGATAATTCTTCTACTTGTACTTTCCCTTTACGTTCGTCAGGTGATACTTGATTTGAAAGTTCCTCTGTGCTCATCATTGTTAAAACTTGACTAGTTTCAGCTACATCTCTACCAGATAAATTAGTTTGCGCCATTTTTTCCGTAGGCATTTCCGGACTAGGCAATAAAGCTTCCGCTTCACTGGATACAGTTTGCGTTATATTTAAGGATAATAATTCTTCGAGATTTGGTTTTCCCTTTTGTATCTCGGGCTTTTGAAGTTCAACAAATTTATTTAGACTTAACGCAGTTGTTATTTCTGTAGTTTCTGCTATGTCTCTGCCATATAAACTTGTTTGCGCCGTTCTTTCAGTTGGTATGTTGAGACTATCAAGAACATTTTCAGTTTCTTGAGATTCTGTTTGTGAAATTATTAATGGCATGAATTCTTCGAGACTGGGTTTACCTTTTTGTTTTTCAGTTTCTTTTTTAGGAATAAGTTCTTCGGCATTAGTCATTGTTAAAACTAGTGTTGTTTCCGCGATATCTCTACCAAACAAATTTGATTGTGCTGTTTTCCCCGTAGGAAGCTCAGCACTAACTAATGTTTCTTCAGCCTCATTAGAAATTACTTGTGAAATAGTCAGTGGAATTAACTCATTGATTTGTTGGTTGCCTTTCTGTTCCTCAGGTCCTCCTATAGCAAATTCATTGGTCTCAGATAATGTTGTTACTTCAATTGTTTCAGCGACTTCTCTACCAGAAATATTGAAATCAGCCTTGCTATCTTTTGGAATAACTTTACTAGCTAAAAGATTTTCAACTTCATTGGAAATAATTTCGGAAACAGTTATGGATGACAATTCTTCGAGTCCTGGTTTACCTCTTTGTTCATATAATTTAGTAGATTTTGTAAAATCTTCGGTTGTATTCGCTGTTACTACTTGAAGGATTTCCGCGGTTTCTCTGCCTGTCAATTTTAATTGTGCCTGATGTTGTTTTGGTGTAACGGCTTCAGGTAAGATATCTTCGATTTCATTAGAAGCTGTTTCAGTAATTACAACCGTTGTAAGACTTTCGAATTGTGGTTTGCCTTTCTGCCCTTCGGGTTGGAATTTGCATTCAAAGATGTCTTCTCTTTCGGCTGGTGTTGTTTCTGACTTTACTATTGATTCTACCGTGGTCTGAATCATAATTGCTTGAGAGGAAAGTGGTTTTTCTTCTTGAAGTTCTCGAGTATTTTGTATACTTTCTACGAAAGAACCTTCAACAGTTTGGAATAAATCGAAATCTGATGTAGCTTTGACTTCAGTTCGCTTTGAAACAATATTCAACATTCCTTCCTTGTCTTCGATAATTGTTTCTGAAATTTGTAACGGCTTTAACTCCGTTATATCAATATTCACTTTTTGTGTCGTAGGTTTAAAAAGATCATCAAAAGTTTTCTCGCTTTCTTCAACAATATTCTCGTTAACAATAATGCTTTCAAACGTGTCTCGCGCTGATGTGGCAATTTGAGGTGTTGAAATATAATCTGAAGGTTGTTCAGGTACGTCTACTCGCGATTCTACCATTGTGGTCTCTATCATATCGTGCTCAGTAACAATAGTATCGACAGCTGTTCGCGATATTTCATGTCTCTTCTCTTCCAGTGATGCTTCGATTTCGGCAGATGTTATCTCCGTAATAAATATACCATGACCTTCTTCGAATGTTGGCATAGCTGTACTGAATATTATCTTCGGATACTTATCGAAAGTACGTTCGCTTTCCGCACTTGGAACTTCATGAACTATAATAGGTTGAAATGTGTCTTGTTTTATGTGAGCTTCAGCTTGTATCTTTTCGAAAGGTTTAATCGGTCCAGTATTTTGTTCGATAAATATTTGAGCCTTTTGAGCAATATCCATACCAAGTTTTGCTAATTTTACTCTTGCCATACTCTCTTCGTATTTCGGAATATTCATTGTTTCTTCTTTGTCTTGTGTTAAGATATGATCTACGGTAATACTTTTCCCTTCGACGAAACTAATCTCGGCGCTACGCTTATCGGGTTTGAATTTATCAATGAATATTGCACCTTGCTCTTGAGGAACCATTTCACTGACGTCAATACCTTCCAAAGTAGATTGTGTTTTATGTGCTTCACATACAATCGGTTTCATTGCTGAAGGTAATTCTCCGAGTTCTTCGCGTAAATTAATTTCCGTTCGTTCAGCTACTTCTTTACCTTCCATTAAAAGATTTGCCGCTTCAAGACGAAGTTTCTTTGTAGCAAATTCCTCTTCAATATCTTGAGCATTAATAGATTCTGTAATAGCAACGAATCTATTTTCATCTAAAATAACATGCGCTTTTGTTTTTGTTAATGGTGTTTTCTGAATCCTATCTATTTCTTTCTCCACTAAGGTTTGTTCGGAGAATTGTACTGTCTCAAACGGTTTTTGACCAATTAGCGCGGTTACTTTTGTTGGTACTGTAACTTCGTTCATTTCACCTGTACTTGAACTGGTAATTATTTCAGATCTCTCAGCGACTTCGTGACCAGGAACAATAACCGAGAGTGCTAAGCGAGATTTATCTTCTTGTAATGTTTCAAGGGGAGCTTCTTTGTCAGCTATTTTAATTTCCGTCACAGAGGTAACGCGCTTACCTTCTTCGACAGATAATTCTATTTTGTGTATTTCTGGCGTGAATTTGTCTTTGAAGGGTTTCTCTTGATCTTGAATCATGTCTTCAGTTACTAAAAGACTTTGATATACTTCATGTGTAGGTGATACGGTTTTAACGTCTGGCTTTTTGATGGTTACTTTTCCTACAGAATGTTCAATAGCTACCGCGGTCGTTTCTGCTATACTGTGAGTAGCATCGATGTCGAATGAAGCAGCGTATTGACGCGGTTGTTCCTCGACGATATATGTCGATTCTTTATCTGCTGGTGTTATATGTTTTATACTCGCGATGACTTTACCTTCTTCCATATCGATGTTTACAATTTTATTTTCCGGCATTAATGCTGGCATAAATTGCTCTTCTCCTTCTTGAATAACAAGCTGTGATTCTACTAGTGGATTAAACACTATGTGATCTGGAATTGCGACGGCAACCAGTGGTGCTTCGCCAGTAGCAATTTCACCAGTGCTAATATTAGCGATTTGTATTGTTGTTTCGGCGACGCCATGAGTTTCGATTAGAGCTTTCTCTGCTGTTTTTGTTTTTGGTATTTCCTTAGGCTTATATTCTGTTTCTTTATCCTCTAAAATTACCGAAGATACCTCTACACTTTGTTCCATCATCATGGAAAGATCAGCTTGAACCATCGATGGTATTTTATCTTTCTTGAGTATAGTCTCCATTTCTGTTGGCTGAGTTTCCATTGCTACTATTGCCTCTAACGGAATATTCGAGAATGTGGCTGAAATAGAAGTCGGTTTTGTCTCCATCAATTCTCCAGTGCTAGAATTTGGAGTGATTTCGCTTTTTTCAGCAATAATATGTCCGGCAAATTGAATCTCGGCTTTTTTCTCTGTAGGTTTTTTGGGAATTTGAAGAATATCTTCCTTTTCACCTAAAATCTCAGTAGACATAGTAGCACTGATAATCTCGTCGACGGATATTCGAGCAGTGTCGGTTTTGGTTTGTTTATCTTGAAATTCTATTTCTGTTTCTGTTGCAATAGTTTCGCTTTGAACGATACTCTCAAACGGCAAACGTTCCTCTTTTGCTGCTGCTGTCTCTGGTGTTTTCACATTGAGGTCTCCTGGATAAATGGCTGGTGTAACCTCAGTAAGTTCGGCAATTTTATGAGCGTCAAAGCTGGTGTTAATTTTTTCACCTGGAATATCCGGTTTCTTCAAATATTCTCGCTCCTTATCAGACGCAATTGTTTCAGTGACTGTTATGCTTGTTTCTTCTTCAAACGATATATCTACTCTTTTTTTATCTGGTTTGACGAAATCAAGCATACGCTCTTCTGAGTCACCGGTTGACATTTCGGATGTAACGATACTATGATGAGTTATATGTTCGGTCGTAGCCATTGCGGAGATTGTTTCTTCGCGTATTAATTCGCTAATGTTGTCAGTTGCGGTTATTTCAGCAGCTTCTGCCACAGTATAAGTAGGAATATCGAAAGTAGCAGATTTTGATTGTGGTTTTTCCATTTCTGCAAGCATGCTTTCTTTGTCACCCGTTGTTACAGAAGAAACAACAAGAACTTCACCCATTACAAATTCAAAATTAGCTTTTTTCTCTGGTACCAACATATGAGGAAAAGGTTTTTCAGTTTCTCTTGTTTGCACTTCTTCAGCAACGGCTATTTCAAATGGTAATAATGTCGCTTTAGGACGTGCATCTTGGATAGGTTTGGTAGATAATTCAGTTGGAACGACACCACTAATAATCTCAAATGTCGAGGCTATATTTTGTGTTATTACGTCTATTGTAGCTTCGGCTGTTTTTGGCGTCTGTTTTTCACCAAGTATATCTTCTTTGTCTTCAGGATGCGTAATTTCAATTGTCAGACTTTCTCCTTCTTGAAAAGTAATACCAACTTTTTTAATATCAGGTTTTACATCCGTTTCTAAAGGAGATTCTTTCTCAGATACTGATATTTCCATTTGTTGTACAACATCTAATCCGCTTTGCAGTTGATTGACACTTTCTTGATGTGGTTTTTCTTCTTTCAATGCACTTATATTGCTTGCAAGAATCATCTCTTGTGTTTCAGCAATTTCATGGCCCTCAGTTATATCTAATACAACCCTTTGTTTGTCTGGTAATTTTTTCATTAATAATTCTTCTTCCTTCAATACGGTAGTTACTTCAGTGATGGTCAAATTTTCAGATTGAGCGCATACTTGAAGTGCGGCATTTTGTTTAACAGGACTCGCATCCTCATCCCTGGTTCGTTCTACTTCGCCGACATTTGTTTCTGTTACTATCAATTCTTCCAGAGCTTCTTGTTGTACTATTGCTTTACCTGATTTTGGTAGATCACTGCTTATTTTTCCAGCACTTTGTTCCACTAAGATCTCTGCCTTTGACGCGACGGTATGACCAGTTATGGACGATTCAACCGTATAAGTCTGTGGTCCAGTATCTGGCGTGTAGATATTCTCGAGATCATGTGGAATTATTTCTAGAACGCTGGCACCAGGCCTCGTGTCTGTGAGTTTAATGTTCGCCATCTTTTCTTCGGGTTTTATGTCTATTTTATAAACATCTTCCTTTTCTGCGGTTTCTTGCATAACGATACTGATAGTTTCTATAGGAATATGAGATGGATATGCTTTTCCACTCACAGGTTTGTCTACCGCTAGGTACTCTTCGGTCGGTGATTCTGTTCTTACTTGTTCATATATAGGAGCTACTTGCGTCATATATTCAGTATTTGCAAACGCACTTTTAACATCGGTTATATCAAGATATTCAGTTTCTTTTTCATCCGCTACAATCATTGTAGTGTGCAAGCTCTCAATCTGATTCATTGAAATAACGGCGGTCATTGTTTCAGGAGCCTTATCTTTCCTCGTCGGAGCTACATCTTCTGCTGCAACAGTCTCATCAACAATTGTTTCTTGCAGACTGACTGTTTCAATTTGAGCTATAGCAGTTGATACGGCTTCTTTCATGACTTTACCTAAATTATTTTCAGGTTGGGTTTCCTGAACTTCAAGTGAGATCATTGGATGAGTAGGTACCGTTTTTCCGCGATGTGATTCAGGCATTTCAAAAATTTTCAATTCGGCTTCTTTTTCTCCAAAAGTTGTTTGTGATATTTCAATACCTCTGATAGCATCGTAGATGGTCTCGATCGTATGAATTTCCGGTTTAACATCTTCCTTCATGCTAGTCTCTCGATCATGAATGAGCGTTTCAAGGACAGTTTTCGCTTCGGTTAATTGAATGGATACAATACCGCTCTCTGTGACATACTTGAGTATATCTTTCAAATCCGCGGGATAGTCTGCGGTTTGAACTTGAGATATCAATATGTGTTCCTCCGGTCTGATTGATGTTTCCGCCAATATTTCGAACGGTTTCTCATCGACACTATAAGTTCCTTCAGATTCTTGAACAATTGTGTCTGTTACAGAACCAATCTCCAATGGGGAAATCGATGTAACGGCTAGTTTAGTAGTAGGCTTTTCTTCAGGATGATAATCTTGTTCTTTTTCAGATGTCATCGTTTCTACCGTCACAGCTGACATAATTTCAACGACATTCAAGTCAGCTGTGACTTGTTTACTCTCTTCGATTGTCAAATCATCTTCTTTTTGTTGAGTATCGATCATTGATATCGTGACTCCTTCTAAAAGAGTGATATTTGGAGTAACTTCGAAAGAATCTACTTTTCGCTCAGGAATATATTCGCCTTCACGCTCCTGTACGAGATCATGACGAATAATAGCTGTTTCATTTTCATAAGAAATTTCAATTTGAGCCGTTTGACTTGGTGGTAATCTACCTGGAATGTATGCTCCTTCTTTTTCAGGTGCATTCATTTCTTCGGTAACGCGTTGTCGTTGCGAAATTATCGATTTGGTAGCGACTTCAGTAGGTACTATTAACTCTGGATAATATTTTCCTGGTTTATCCTCAGAATGAATTTCTTCTACCATCAACGGTTCTATTGCATTGATGTTAACGCGAGGTTTTGTAAATACTGTTTTCATAGGTTCCAATTTATTTTCAACCAAACCTTCTTGTATTTCATAAATCGAAAGTGATATTTGTGGTAAGACAATATCTTCTGCTTTAACGCTTAAAGGTGTTATAAAATCTTCGGTCGGTATTTCGCTTTGATTAACTATGGTCTCTCTAATAGTTGTAGCTTCTTGCACAGTAACCTGCACATCTGCTTTTCGACTTGTTTCTGGTGTAGTTAAAGTTAGATTTGACACACTTTCATCGTGAGTCAGTGTTTCGCTGATGACAAGACTTTCTTTCGTTATTACAGAAGGTGTTGCTTCATAAGAAGTAGCTTTGAAAGATCCAGAAAATTCATCAGTAGATATATGTGCAGTAGTTTCCGTGGTAGAATATGGTTCTATCGATGAGATTGATATTGACGCTTTACGTTCGATAGGTTTGGTACTTGTCACTTGATCAATTTCTTTTTCGTGTACTGATGTCATTTGTTCTGTTAGCGCGATAACAGTATCTAATGTGTATTTAGCTTTCTCTGATTCGGGTTTGCCAGGTGCTTGTTCGATTGTACGATCTAATGGTATCACTTGATTTCGTTGACTAGATACATTTAAAACCATAGACGGCAGTAATTGATCTTTTGTTACTTCAAATTCTTCTATCTCTTCCAGTTGTATCTCATCTCTACCAATGTTTGATCTTTTTGGTATTAATGTCTTTCTAATTTTTTTAATAATTTCTTCTTCCTCTTCTGTGTTTATTTGTTTTTCCATCTCTTTTTGTTTTTGTTTACGAATCAATCTGCCCTTTGAATCCCGTTCGAGTTCAATAATCTCTTCTTCGATTTCTTCCTTTTTTCTTTCTTTATCAATCTCCTCGACTTCCTCGATTTTTATAGATTGAACCCCCTCTTCCCTATCTTGTGTTGTTTCTTCAATTTGATCTCTTGGTTTTTTATCTTTGCGTTTACGCAATGTTGTGTGTGCCTGCCGTGTGTCCTCGTATTCTGTGGAAAGTATGTGAGAATTTTGTGTCAGACGTGAGTGTTGCGTGATGTCTTTATTTTCTTGCGTTCACACACACACACACACACACACACACACACACACACAGGCGCACGCAGGCACGCACGCATACACGCGCGCATTCACGCACACATTTTATATCTTGCATACTTTATTCCATGACTATAGAGCGTGTATTTGATTACGATAAGAACGTGCTCAATAAACAAACAAGTAACAAGTGTTTGGATTTTCAGAAACGTGTAAAATTTATTGTAAATTTAGTAGACTGTAACATTATTAATTTTATAAGCATGCTACATTTTTATGTCTCATATTATTTTCTGTTGAGCAAGGTATCGGTAGAACTTACATTTGAAGGCACAATCAGTGCAGCGCAAATGAGCATCGAGTCGTGAAGCATTGATTTCGAAGCTGATATGAAAAGTAGCTGATTAAAACGACAATATTGTATATTGTATTAGAAAAGGAAATAGGATTTGTCGCGTGTGGAAAGCATAGCGGCGTAAGCGAAAAAATTGCACAGCTATTATTCGATCAAGTAAAGCTTCATACATCTGAAAACATAATAAAACAGTGACTGTTACAGCTATGAACATCCTGTCTTAGTATTGTTTTTCTCTGTGTTAATATTTTTATGTATAAATAAAAAGATATTTTTAAAATATAAAAAATATTTTTTAATTAAAAATTAAATAATTTCTGCAAAATTATTATAACATAAAGAGAGATTTAAAAGCATTGCTTTTTTATATAAGATACTAGATATATATAAATGGAGACTTGTATCCATTCTGAATTAAATTAATTAAAATTACAAATACAAATTAAAAATACAAATGTGATGTAGCGTTAATTGTTCTAATTATAAAATATAATCAAATAATAGTAATAGCATATTTATTATAGCGAAAAATCAATTCCTTAAGTTGGTAAGTTATATAAATAAATATCTAATAGATACGTCAATATTTATTATTTCAAACCTTTAATTTCTCGAATATCCTGTATGTGAGTAGCTTTCCTTTCGTCCTTCCTCTCTGCAATAAAAAATACTTATTCTATCTAAAAATTTAGTATGACTTATTCTTTATACGAAAAAAAACAATGTACATAACGAAAATATCGAAGAAATATCGAAGAAATATTCAAATAAATCCAAATCTTATATACGTACGTAATAAATAAAGTATATCTATATAAATAAATTACAAAGTCTACAATTTGGCTTACCCATAAAATGAACTTCCATTTTGCGAACGATATCTACTCTTTCCATAGCATGTTGCTCAGTATCAATCTGAGAAAAGAAACGAAAAAAAAATTATTATTTTTGGAAATATTATAACATATATTTTATTAAGAAAAATACAGAGCAGAAAATAGAGAGTAAGATACAGTATTTTTTCTAATAATTATTAAAAATTCATATAATATTTGGATGTCATATCTGTACCTCGGAAATTTCTGTAACTTCCCAAGCACGTGGTTTGAAATCTTCTGGAGCAAAGTGTATAATGACTTCTTCTACAGTTGCATGCTGAAGTTCAACCATTTTCATAAAAGCACGAAAACCGACTGTCGCTGCAACGAAACTTTCGTCAGTTGTCGTCTCCTCGGTAAGTACTTGGGTGATTAAAGGACCGTGGCCTTTTCTTTCCACCAATTGAACCAAAGCATTTTGAGCATCGGGGGTCTTTAGAGCAGGAAAAATCTCAGTCTTGTAAAGGCATTCGTTAATTTCGTTTACGGAAACACCTTGTCGAACCAAGTAGCCAATTGTCGCGAGTTCTCGAAGAGGAGATTCTCCCGGACCAAATTCTGTCGCATCAAGTACCTCCATTATTTCATCGACTTCCCGAGCTATGTTTTCTTTTTGTCGCTCCACAATCTCTTTTACAGTAATATCTTCTTTAATTTTTTCAGCTTTTATTTTCTTTATCTTTTTTTGTTTTGTCTCTATACGTTTCGTTTCTTGCAAACTTTCTACATGTGCTTCAGAAACTGCAACTTGCTGTAAAGTTTCCGAGGTAACTTGAGCATGATCAAGTTTTGTTTCGATAGTGAAATCAGGAGCAATATCTTCACTCGTGATTTCTGACACGACAACACTTTCTTGCTCTTCGACAATTTGTTTGGCACGTTCTTCAAATTTAGGTATATGTTCTTGTAGTTTTTGATCGTCAATTTTCTTTAAAGAAGCTATTGCTTCAGTTACAATTGGTTCTTGGATCGGTACTATTCTTCGAGCTCTAGAAACCTAAAATATAAATGCAAGATAAATAATAGTTTGTGAAAGAGATGTAACTATAAAAACTGAACATCTTATAATACCTCTTCGGGTTTATCTTCTATAAACTCTGTAGTTTCTAATAGTTGAGTCTCTTCAACATCGATAGTTCTTCTGTAAATACAAGCAAAAATTATAATTTAAAAAAATGGAACAAATTAAAGATTTTGGAATATACTGAACAAAATGAAATGGAAGATTACTGACTTTTCTTCTATCTGTTCCTTCGGAATAAGTTTCTCTTCACAGATTTCTTCTTTTTCAATTTTGAGACGTTCAGTTTTTACTTTCTCCTTAATTTCTTTCGCTTTCTTTAACTCAATTTTTTTCTTTCTATGCGGTCTCTCTTCTTGTTTTTTAAGCTTTATATCTAATTTTTCTTCTTCTTTGATATCGCCCGGCATTAACCAGCGTGATTCGCTGATAGTATCGATATGAAGTTTGGCTTTTGTTACTATCATACCAATTTCATTGGTAGCTTTGCAAACATACGTGGCATCGTCTTCTTTGGTAGTTTGCTTAATTGTTAGAGTAGTTCTGTTTTCTTTATCAAATATACGTACTTTTACATTGTTCGTATTCATTATAAGCTTATCATTCTTATACCAAACAACATCTATAAATTAAAGAAATAATTAATTAAAATAACTTTATAACTAAATTTAAACATCTTTGCGATGTGTATATAATTACCTGGTTTGGGATTACCAGAATAAGTACATTCAAACAAAGCGATATCTCCCTCTTTTGTATAAACATCCGTTATTTCTTTGATAAATCGTGGAACAGCTTGTGTAGCTGAAATGTTATGAAATGCAATTATGAAAAATTCACAATAAAAATACATTGAATTAATTAGTTTCTTACCAAATTCTGTGTTTAATGCCAAGATTATCTGAATTAATTTCGTCTTGTCAGTAGTCTAATTAGATAAACACAAATGAAAAATCATACCTATTACTTCTAAATGATGCGTCTCTATCGTTAGTCTTAAAACAAATTCTACTTGACATCGTGCTTCTTTCATCTTTGAAAAAATGCAGCTGTATTATACGCTAATCCAAAATTTCCGTCGCATTAACTTTCAAATAGCAACATTTTATAATTCTTCTTGATGACTATCTGCTGTATTTAATTGTTGAAAAGATTCCAGATCAATTTCTCTTAACTCTAATGGAAATATCAGCGGATTCATGATTCTTGAGTTGTCCCTTTGGAGTATTTTGAAATAGGAATCTTAGACTTAGGATATATATATATATATATATTTGATATTTTTTCTTTTATCAGTCATAAATGAAGTCAACTGAATTGCAAATTATTCGGGAATGTAGTTTTTAAATATCTTTGTGTTGAGTTTGTTTTGATCTTACATATTTGGCATTTTGGTTTTTTTTTTATTAATAGTAAATAGAACAGTGATTTTTGGATCTCTGGAGAATTTATTTGTTTACCAGAGTGGAACTATTCGTAAATTTTTTTCTACACTTTGACGATAGGAACTCATAAAAATTGATAATGATTTTTTTTTCTGCATTTTATCAATATCGAGATCTTTTCCTTAAATATCGAATCATTATACGAATCATTTTTTAAAACATATCTTTATTACTAAAGGATAATTGCAAAGCGATTTACCGATAATTTTTTTTTGAACATTATATATGGTATCTTCTTTTTTGATAGGAGATAATTGTTTTGACACGTTTAATAATGACACGTTTAATTTTCGTTATTTTTTTATATTTTTCATACTTTATTGCAGGAATGATTACAAAGCGTGTTATTGCGCATAATGGCGGCTAAATGTAATTTGGGGCTAATTTCTGAGGTGACGAATTTCTAATAGCGGTTTTATATTGGCTTACAGAATTTGGAGTCAATTCCTGATTGGTCATTCATTACGTATCCCCAAGATTGTCACACTTGATATTCTTACATCATGTGTTTCAGTTCAGTTAGTAAATGACGACATAAGATGCGTTTCATTTGGCACTTACGACACTCGCGAGTTTTATTTGTTCTTTAACGTTTGATAAATAACAAGAATGAAATGATTCCATGAGCGTTGCAAGCATCAAGTAGAATGTAGTACTCATAATGTATTCGATAGCATAATCATGTTTTATTACCTTACTAAGTATAAGATTGACAGGTGGATTTCTTTTATTCTCTGATAACGTTATATATGAAAAATACTTATGTTTTAGGTTCATTATCTTGTTTCTTCTTTTGTAATTGCCTTACTGAATCAAATATTATTGAAGGTTGTTCTTTATAAGAAACATCTACTTGCTAAGAATATTGTATCGCAATATTATTTTTTGATCAGTATCCATAGAATCTGAATATTTTGTCAACAAAAAATATTCTTTTGAAGTTTCATCTTTGTCATCACAAGAAGTAATTTGGCATAATTGTGGTAAAGGTTTTTGTTGAAAAATCGCTGGTCACAGTTAAGTTTTTTTTGAGCTCACTCAGTGTTTCTAGTGTGTTTCTTAATGCACAATGTTATTCGGACTATCTCTTGAGAAATTGCACTCTGCATCATGCGGCATGCAATTGAGCATGTTCAGATAAAAAACATGAGTTTTACATGAGTTTTACATGAGTTTCTTACCTTTTAAAGCCTCCTGCATTTCTTCCATCTGTGTGACCCATTCCGGTTTTCTGTATTCTTTTGTTCCGAGTATACCTAATCGATAAAACGATTATAAGAAACATATGACGAATATATATCAAATCCTTTCTATCTTATTAGCATTTAGATAGAAGAATTTGGGCAAGATCAAAGAGATTAGTAAATTTGCTTGAAATATTTAAAAAATAAGACAATGTAAGTCAAGGATGTTGTAAGTGTTTGTTGTAATTGATGTAAGGAACATAGGATAATGAATGGCTTTTTATTAGGATGCTACAGAGCTTCTTCGATTGAAGAGCGCGGCTGAAAAGAATATAACTTAATACTTAACCAGATTTAGTAAAGCCTTTGAGATTTGTAGAGAAAATGATATTACCTTCTACTGATAAATACGTAGTTGTAGTTGATACACCGAGTGGATTGTAAGCTTCAAATATGATCTCACCAGTGTCATCGGGGAAAGTTTCGGCGATTGTTAATACTGATGTACCATCTTCAAATTCCTCAATTTGGAATTCTTGCGATGAGACTATTTCTACTCCTTCTTTATACCATTTTCCTTTCGGTTTTGGTTTGCCTTTCACCTTTACTTCCAATCTGTATGTGTAACAAAAATAGCAGTCACATAGTGAACACATATATACATAACATATATGTGTGCGTGATAAAAAAATTTATGTATAATAAAATATAAATGTATGTAATTATAAACAGGGAATGGAAGTAACTCGTTAATTGTAACGAAGTTACAGTTACAAGTTATTTTTTTGGTAACTTTATTGGTAACTGCGTTACTTTTTTTTGGTAACTATAATGTTAACGCAGTTACATTTTTTGTGATAATTAATTCAGGATTTATACATAACGGCTTGCCAACATGGATAATATCTGAAAAGATATTATCCTAGAAGATTTGCGGATGCCGTGTATTTATCTGTTGCTAATGCCAACGTTTTGTGAACCTTGTTCACTTCATCAGGGTGAGGAACGCACTGGGTCAGGGCAAGAAGTATTAATGCGCTCTTTGCCTTGATAAAGTGAACGATAAAGTTCACGAAACATTGTCATTAACAATGGATAAAAACACGGCAACAACCCGCAAACCTTTTGGTATCTTTGAAGATAATATTCATGAAAGCTTAAAAAGCTGTTATGCTGTTATGGATAATGTCTGCTTTATTAAAGCATCATGCCCGAATTAATCAAATTTCCCATAACATATACACATGCAGAGATTATACACTAGAAAGAAAATATATATGTATAGATTTTTGTATATAATTATGTATATTTGTATGTGTACATATATATATATATATATTATTAATTTGTATTTGATACAATTATCATTTGTTTAATGTATTAAACATACCTAGTTAATTCCCCATCTTTAGTAGGAATTAATTGAGGAAGCTTCTTAATTATCTCTGGTACAGATTCTTCTATATCAGTGTCAAAAATAGGAGTTTCCTAAAGTCAAAATCAATTTTAATATTTAATATTACACCAAGTATAATTCTATAGGATATATTGTTGGATATGTTAAATTTTGTATTTACTTTCGGAGATAGAAGATCTTCTTCTGATCCACTCTGTCCTGTGGTAAGAGATGTCGCGACTATTGAAGATGCAATTTCAGAATCCGGCACATACTCGTACGCTAAAAAAGTAAATTTTGTAAAATAGACAACCATTTAAAATCATAGCTGCTTGCGTCGAATAATATACCTTCAACAATGAGCGTTGACATGCAAACAGCTTCGCCAACAGGATTTACAGCACGACAGGTATATTCTCCAGCATCTTCCGGGAATACTTCGGTAATAGCTAAACTACAGACACCCTCCATATCCTGAATAATTGTAATTTCTTTTCCTTCTTTAATTGGCATGTCATTGTGATACCATTCCACTCTGGGCGTTGGTTTCCCTTCAACGACGCAGGTTAAATTAACACTCTCACCGTCCATAACTTTCACAGGTGATAGTCTCTTTACGAATGTCGGTGAGACTAATTCAATTGCTTCTTCCCATGTTATTTCCATCAAATTAACGGTGGCTGTACAAGTAACCGAACCACCGACATTTTCAGCACGACATGTGTAATTACCAGCAAATTCTGATGTGACTTCTTTCACCATTAAGATCGATCGATTTTCTTGAGTCACAATTCTTACTTGTGGTGTCGACTGCAACAAATTATATCTTTTATTAATTTGATAAAATTTTGGATGATATATCGTTACACGCAAGCATTAAAGGTTTATTTTAAACAAGCACAGAAATTGGAAAAAGTACCTCAAGAGGTTTGCTTTCATGGAACCACTGAAAAGATGCTGCTGGATATGATTCCACTCGTGTTTCCATGATAACAACTTCTCCTTCTGCAACAATTTGAGGCTGAATAGGTTCCACAAACATTGGTGCTTTTACTTCGCTTATAGTGTCTTTGCGTTCTTTAACAGTAACAGAACTCGAGCTTCTCGCTTCACCGACTTCATTCTGAACTCTTATCTCATACTTGCCGCTATCTTTGTTTGTTACTTCTATTATATTTAATTCGGTTGTACTTTCATAAATGTCTATTTTGCATTTGTTGGTCGGTGTAATTTCAATACCATTGCGGAACCACTTGACTTCTGGTTTCGGTACGCCGTCAAAATCAGCTAGAAGTTTCAGAGACTTTCCGCGCTCAATTATTAAAGCGGACAAAGGTCGTGTAATTCGCGGTGCTCTGAGAACAATTGGTTTGCTCACTTTAACGATGTTACTGATCACTAAATTAGCTCTGCATTCAGCGCGGCCATATTTATTTATAGCACGAACACGATAAATTGTTTCATCTTCGGGGATTGGTTTTAAAATTTTCAATTTAGCTTCTCCAGTAGTTGGGTTGAAACTCAACTCTGTTCTTTCATTTGGTTTTACTTCTTTTTCGTCACGATACCATTTTACTTCAGGTATTGGCATACCAGTTACAATGCATTCTAATAAAGCAGGTGTATGCTCTTCAATCATTAACGGTTTAATTGGCGTTGAAAAATGCGGTGCTATGCCTTCTTCTTCTTTTTCTGAAAGGATAAATATTTTGCATTTTTGAAAATATATGATATTTAATATTTATAATTACCGTATGTCGTACATCTACTTTATATTAGTTATCCCATAAATCATTATTAATTTATTTATATTTATAAATGGATGTTACTTCTTATTTTAAAAATTATTGATATATTTAAAAGTGTTATTAAAAAAAATATATATATATATATATATATATATATGAAGTATTTGTAGTAAAGAATGTGCTTATCTAATTTTACAAAAAGATTATAAGAATTATATATCTTATAATATTCCTGTATACATAAAAGAAATGTAATAGAACAAGTAAAAATATCAAACAACTAAGTAAATGTTAACATAAATCCAAATTGTAAAAATTAAACAATTAATATATAATATTATTACCGAATATTACAAGGTTGACAGTGGATGTTGCCACGCCAGCTGGATTAGATGCCCTACAAGAATACATTCCAGCATCTTCTTCTTTGACGTTTGTGATTTCTAAGGTTACCGTTGTCTCAAATATAGTCATAGTATACTTTTCGCTCGCATGGAGTTCTTGTTCATTTTTATACCAAGAAATTTCAGGCAATGGATTTCCTATAACAGTACATGTAAATTTGGCAGTTTTTTTCAACTCAGCGATAACAGGTTGTAATTTTTGAATAAATCTTGGAGCTATCGTTTTGTCTTTATCTGTAATTGATATATCGACCTGAGTACGTTGTCTATGTTTTCTCTTACGATCTTCTACAAGTGTGACATCTGTTTTAATTTGTAACTTGGCAGCTTCTTCTTCGACAATATTAGAAGAGATTTTTTCAGGCACTTTTTCTTTTACCTTAGATTTTGTTACAACTGATTCAGTAATGATTTCATCTTTCTCTTCTAAAATTTCTGCTATTTGCTCCTCAAGCTTTACAGATTTTAATTCGAAAACTTTATCTTCCTCATACATCTCTTCGGGTAATTTTTCATTTTCTATAAAATCTAATATATGTCCTTCGGGTTGTTTTAGGTTTAATTTTTCCACTTCTCCAATGGGTTTTAACATAACCATTTCTTTCTCTTCTTCTGTCTTTAAATGTATTTGTTTCTTCTTTCTCCACGAAACTTCACTTGTAATAATTTCGTCTGTTACCTTATCTTCTTTAAATGATGGCATAGTTTCTATCTTTCGTTCAAATAGATCTTGAGTATCTTTAGTTGTAATTATCATTGCCTCTTTTTCTTCATAAACGTCTATAACAGATTCTTCTTGATCAATAGGCACTATTATTACTTCATCCTTAAAATCAACGACTTTCTTTGTTCGTTTACGTCGCCAAGGAGTTTCGATTATCTCTGTTAACTCTTCACCTTTGGGTTTTTCCTCTTTAATTTCAGTTAGCATTTCAGATACTGGTTGTAACTTTATATCTTTGGGTTCTTCTTTTTCCACTGGTTTCAAAGTAATTTCTTCCTTTGATATTTCTTCTTTGGTGAGCTTTTTAACAGGTTTCAACACAATTTGCTCTGGTTTTGGCTCTTCGGGTTTGTCCAGCTTTTTCACTGGCTTCAATCGGATCTCTTCCGGTTTTTCTCCAACTTTTTCCTTTTCCACTGGTTTCAAAATAATTTCTTAATTTGTTTCTTCCTCTTTAGAAAGTTTTCTAACAGGTTGTTTCAAAGTAATTTCTTCTTTTGTTTCTTCCTCTTTAGAAAGTTTTCTAACAGGTTTCAACACAATTTGCTCTGGTTTCGGCTCTACGGGTTTTTCTATCTGTTTCACTGGCTTCAATCGCATTTCCTCTGGTTTTTCTTCCACTTTTTCTTTTTCCATTGGTTTCAAAATAATTTCTTAATTTGTTTCTTCCTCTTTAGAAAGTTTTCTAACAGGTTTCAACACAATTTGTTCTGGATTCGGCTCTTCGGGTTTTTCTATCTGTTTCACTGGCTTCAATCTGATCTCTTCCGGTTTTTCTATCTTTTTCACTGGCTTCAGTCGGATTTCCTCCGGTTTTTCTTTAACTTTTTCCTTTTCCACTGGGTTCAAAGTACTGTCTTCCTTTGTTTCTTCCTCTTTAGAAAGTTTTCTAACAGGTTGTTTCAAAGTAATTTCTTCTTTTGTTTCTTCATGTTTAGGAAGCTTTCTAACAGGATTCAACACAATTTGTTCTGGTTTCGGCTCTTAAGGTTTTTCTATCTTTTTCACTGGCTTCCATCGGATTTCCTCTGGGTTTTCTTCAACTTTTTTCTGTTCCACTGGTTTCAAAATAATTTCTTCCTTTTTTTCTTCCTCTTTAGGAAGCTTTCTAACAGGATTCAACACAATTTGTTCTGGTTTCGGCTCCTCGGGTTTTTCTATCTTCTTCACTGGCTTGAATTGGATTTCCTCTGGGTTTTCTTCAACTTTTTCTTTTTCAACTGGTTTTAAAATAATTTCTTCCTCTGTTTCTTCCTCTTTAGAAAGTTTTCTAACAGGTTTCAACACAATTTGCTCTGGTTTCGGCTCTACGGGTTTTTCTATCTGTTTCACTGGCTTCAATCTGATCTCTTCCGGTTTTTCTATCTTTTTCACTGGCTTGAATTGGATTTCCTCTGGGTTTTCTTCAACTTTTTCCTGTTCTACTGGTTTCAAAATAATTTCTTCCTCTGTTTCTTCCTCTTTAGAAAGTTTTCTAACAGGTTTCAACACAATTTGCTCTGGTTTCGGCTCTACGGGTTTTTCTATCTTCTTCACTGGCTTTAATTGGATCTCCTCCGGTTTTTCTTTAACTTTTTCTTTTTCCCCTGGTTTCAAAATAATTTCTTAATTTGTTTCTTCCTCTTTAGGAACTTTTCTAACAGGTTTCAACACAATTTGTTCTGGATTCGGCTCTTCGGGTTTTTCTATCTTCTTCACTGGCTTGAATTGGATTTCCTCTGGGTTTTCTTCAACTTTTTTCTGTTCCACTGGTTTCAAAGTAATTTCTTCTTTTGTTTCTTCCTCTTTAGGAAGTTTTCTAACAGGTTGTTTCAAAGTAATTTCTTCTTTTGTTTCTTCCTCTTTAGGAAGCTTTCTAACAGGATTCAACACAATTTGTTCTGGTTTCGGCTCCTCGGGTTTTTCTATCTGTTTCACTGGCTTCAATCTGATCTCTTCCGGTTTTTCTCCAACTTTTTCCTTTTTCACTGGTTTCAAAATAATTTCTTCCTCTGTTTCTTCCTCTTTAGGAACTTTTCTAACAGGTTTCAACACAATTTGTTCTGGATTCGGCTCTTCGGGTTTTTCTATCTTCTTCACTGGCTTTAATCGGATCTCCTCCAGTTTTTCTTTAACTTTTTCTTTTTCAACTGGTTTTAAAATAATTTCTTCCTCTGTTTCTTCCTCTTTAGAAAGTTTTCTAACAGGTTGTTTCAAAGTAATTTCTTCTTTTGTTTCTTCATGTTTAGGAAGCTTTCTAACAGGATTCAACACAATTTGTTCTGGATTCGGCTCTTCGGGTTTTTCTATCTGTTTCACTGGCTTCAATCGGATCTCTTCCGGTTTTTCTATCTTTTTCACTGGCTTCAGTCGGATTTCCTCCGGTTTTTCTTCAACTTTTTCCTTTTTCACTGGTTTCAAAATAATTTCTTAATTTGTTTCTTCCTCTTTAGGAACTTTTCTAACAGGTTTCAACACAATTTGCTCTGGTTTCGGCTCTTAAGGTTTTTCTATCTTTTTCACTGGCTTTAATTGGATCTCCTCCGGTTTTTCTTCAACTTTTTTCTGTTCCACTGGTTTCAAAGTAATTCCTTCCTTTGTTTCTTCCTCTTTAGAAAGTTTTCTAACAGGTTTCAACACAATTTGTTCTGGTTTCGGCTCCTCGGGTTTTTCTATCTTTTTCACTGGCTTGAATCGGATCTTCTCCGGTTTTTCTTCAACTTTTTCCTTTTCCACTGGTTTCAAAGTAATTTCTTCCTTTGTTTCTTCCTCTTTAGGAAGTTTTCTAACAGGTTTCAACACAATTTGTTCTGGTTTCGGCTCTTCGGGTTTTTCTATCTTTTTCACTGGTTTCAATTGGATCTGCTCTGGTTTCTCTTCAACTTTTTCCTTTTGTACTGGTTTCAATGTAATTTCTTTTGATTCTTCATCTTTAGGAAATTTTCTAACAGGTTTCAATACAATTTGCTCTGGTGTCGGCTCTTCGGGTTTGTCCATTTTTTTCACTGGCTTTAATCGGATCTGTTCCGGTTTCTCTTCAACTTTTTCTTTTTGCATTGATTTCAATGTGATTTCATCTTTTGATTCTTCCTCTTTAGGAAGTTTTCTGACATGTTTCAATATAACTTCCTCAGGTTGTGCTTCCTCTGGTTTTATTATTTTCTTAATAGGTTTTAATTGTAAATCTTCAGGTTTCTGCTCAATTTGTGTTAATTTCTTTGCACGTCTCCATGGTACGTCTATTTTCTTTGTAAATATGTCTCTATTCATTTCATCGATTTTTTCAGATGAAACTTCTAGTTTGGATGTTTCCTTTGTCATCGGTGTATGCGTAAGATCTTCTGACACTTCTTTTTCTTTAGGTAATTGTTTTACTGGATGTAATGTAATTTCTTGTATTTTTTGCTCTTCAAGTTTTTCATGCCTTTTTGCCGGTTTCAGTACAACAGATGTGAAATCTTCAATTTGAGCTTTTTGTGTAATAGATTTTGTTGTTTTACTTTTTTCAGATTTTTGCCATGTTGCTTCAGATATTTCTTTAATGTCAACTTTTGTTTTATCAGTTTCAGTTTCTGAAATCTTTTTTTGAATTAACGATTTTGATTTACGGCGCCATGGAGCTTCGGAAATTTCTGTCGGTTTATCTTCTTCCAATTTAACTTCAGGTTTAATTATTTGAGATGTTCTTATTTCCTCAACTTCTTTTTTGTCTCTTGCTTTTTTACCTCTAACCCATGGCATTTTTACCTCTTCTTTTTTAGATTTTTTAATTATATTATCAGTTGTATCGATGTCGAGGATCGTAGTATCTTCCTTTTCCGTATATGGTATTTTAGATTTTTTCTCACTGCTCACTTTTTTAGTAGACTCAACATCTTTGTCCATTTCTATAATTATTTTATCTTCTTCTTCGTGATATGGTATGTTTTCTTGCTGTACGATTCCAGTCAAATCTGTACTTTCTATTTTGATGTGTTTTAAATCTACTTTCTCTACTGATTCTTTCTTTAATATTACTTTATATAACCTTGATGTTGGCTTTAATGATACTTCCTCAAGAGTTTCTTTATATATTTCTTTTTGCTCCGGTTTTGTTCTTTTTAAGATTATTTTTTCTTCCATCCATGTCGTTGACTGTGGCTTTTCTTGTGGCATGTCCTCTTGCTTTTTTATCTTTTTATGAATGTTGGTTTCATGCTTTGACGTAACTTTAAGCAAAGTAGTATCTTCTTTCTCTTTATATGACGTAATATCTTCGTCGATATGTTTTTCTTCTCGTACTAACTTTTTCCTTGCATCTGGTTTTAATTTAATATCATCGTATATCTCAGTTGAAACTTGAAGTAATGTAATATCTTCTTGTTCAACGTATTCAGCAGTTTTATCGATTTCTCTTGTATTTTCCTTTTCTTTTATGACAGGTTTTAAATTTATTTTTTCCAAATCTGGTTTTGGAGATATTGGTTTAATAAACTTAGATGACTTTAATTTTACTGTTTCTATCATCTCTTTTTCAATTTCTTTTTGAATAGGTTTAGATTTTTTCAAAATAATTTTTTCTTCTGTCCATGGTTTTGTTTCATCTTCCTTATCTATGATTTTATCCACGTCTTTGCTTGCTCTTCTCTCTTTTTTGTCTGTACTGACATCAATTCGTGTAATCGTTGAAATTGCTTCAACTTCTTCTTTTGAAATTGGTTTTAGATCTGCCTTATCTAACGTTGCTTCCACGAGGTCTTTCTTTACTATTTGCAAAGGTTTCAATGAAACAGTTTTGAGGATTTCCTTGGGTATTTCTTTTCTTTCCGGTTTTGCCTTTTTCAAAGCGATTTTTTCCTCCGTCCAAGGCTTGAATTGTTCTACGTTCTCTGTGATAAGCTTTTCTTTTTTTAATTTTTGCATTTCTGCATCTTTTACAATTGTAAGCAAAGAAGTGTCCTCTTGTTCAAGAAAATTTATTTTTTCTTCATCCAATTCAGAAGTTATTTTTGTCTTTGGTTTTGTTTTCTTTAAAACAATTTGTTCCTCCGTCCATGATCTTGATTTCTCCTGCTTCTCTTTTTTCGACAAAGTTTCATCTAAACGACGCGATGTTTTTAACAGAGTATTATCCTCTTGCTCCTTATAAAGTTCAGTCATAATATTGTCGCTAGCATATTCTTCGGTTATTATAATTTTATCTGTTGCCTCTTTAGGCACGGATTTCAACTTAATTAGTTCTATATTAAATCCGTGGATATCTTTTTTCTCAGTCTTCGTCGGTTTTAACTGAACTTCTTCTAACCTTTCTGTCGTTATATCCTTGGTAACTTTGGGAGTTTTTTTCAAAATTACTTCTTCCTCGGTCCATGGTTTTATTTGACTCTCGAAAGCTTGAAGCTTGTCCAATGAAGAATCTCTTGATGTTGTTTGTACTTTCCGCCATGGAAGTGAATCATAAGTTCGAGGTAGAACGCGTCCTCTTCGCCAAGGCAACGATTCATCACCAGGTTGAAGTTGTATTTCAAATGGTAAATCATTTTTGTCGAGAGGTAAAGATCTCAGAATTACATTTTCCTTCAAATCTTGATGAGATTTCACATCTATTTCAACACTGGCACCCCTCTCTGTGGGAACCGCGTAATGGGCTTCTTTTCTCTCTGCAAGTTATGCAAAATTGTTTTAAATAGATATAAATGTTTTTTTACTATTTGTTTCATATCGTATATGTTAAAGTTAAATTAAAAGAAAGCTTTATTTACATTATGATGTATCATGATATTAAATGTGTGTGTGTATATGTGTGTGTGTGTGGGGGGGGAGGGTGTGTGTGTGTGTGTGTGTATGTGTGTGTGAAAATTAAGAAAAAATCTATTTATAAATTCACGATAATTTATCAATTCTTTAACATGTAAAATTAGTTATATAAATATTTTGTAAACGCTGAATAACAAGGAATAAATTTTGACTGAATTAACTTTCAAGGCAAAGAAATCAAAGCTTTTTGCCAACCTTGGAAAAGTGAATTATTAATATGTAATATATGATTTGTAAAAGATTGTATTCAACTGAATATCTATTTTTTAGGGCCTTTTTATGAATAGATATCATCGACAATAAAAATATTCATTGTTTTGTGACAGTGATAACTATTAATGAAACAAGCAATTGTAGAAGAGCATAAATTTTTTAATTAATTTTGTTAACAAAGAACATTAAAATTAACACACATACACACACACACTTACATATTTGTGTATACATAGATTTATATGAAAGTTACTTAGCATAATAATAATAAGCAGAATAATAATATTAGGAAATAAAGTTTAGTAACGACGAAAGTCACAGTCAAACGTGTTAACAATTGTATGTAGAACTTAAATGTTATAAAATGTCTACAGCAAAAAATATAAAACGCATGGATCTACAAAATTCTTTAAGTTATTTTTAAATAGTTTAAAGAATTTGTCTTTTGTGATTTGACTATACGTAGGAATTTTTTCTCCGAAATGTAATAAAATACAATACTATTTTGACGTTTATGATGATGTGTGCAGCGATATTATTTTTTTAATCTATACGCTATATACGAGGAAATATTTTGGAAGATATATTTCAAGGAGTTACGAATAATGGATATTTTAATAAATATAATCGCGCGAGTCAAAGCGTTCGCTTGCAGTGGCCAGAGTTCGCGTTGCTCATGAGTTTCTCTAAAGTAGTCTCCCGCGGAGTAACTCGGTGGGGATCCTTGACGTATAAGACACACGTCCCTATTTCATGCTACATCTAGTCGTAATAGTAATCAGTTGGAAGTCGAAGACGAAGGAACGAAGAAAATCTTGGCAAAATCGTCGTTCCCCTTCTTATAGTGACATCACAGTGATTGTTCAGTGAAGTGAATAAAAAATGATATTTGAAAGAAAAAGAGCGTCAACAAGTACATTTTTTAACGTTCGTTATCTCTATAAATTTCTTTCCTTTATATGATTAATTGAAGTTATATTCGAACTGGATAATCCATTTTGTTTTTGTGAAGTGATACATTAAAAATATTTGTATACATCGTGCAGTGAACTGTTCAACAGTACATGTGCATATAGTTGTGTCAAGCAAATATCTCATATGCTAAAAAATATTTAGTATTTTGTGTTCATATAATCTGTTTTTTAATGCCAAAATATACAAACAAAAAAGCACTTTCTTATTCATATCTTTCTTAGCCATTTAGTTAAAATGTGTATGAAATGCAATCATTATTTAATTATAGATTACTGCAAAAGCTATGATATTTCATCTTGGAAAAGCTATCAATCTATAGTTTAATATTATAATCAGAAATTCGAAAACTATACTTATAAATGAGTGAATGCAGTCGTAGATAAGTGAGTAAATATAAGGACAAGGATCTACTTATACTTTCTGCACGATGACATAGTTTATTAGGCGAATTGTAAAATGAATTTTCAAAATAAAAAAAGAGATAGACATAGATACATATTCACTTTTACTTCTATATATCTTATCCTATAAGTTTTATGATTATATGTTTTTATACATACACACCTTATATGTATATAATACAAAAATATTAATTTTAATATTTTTGCATGTCTCAGAAAATCCATTATGTGCCTTTAAGTTAAAATTAACATCTTATTTTTAGTGTACATATTTTTCAAAAAGTTATATAATTATTACATTATATAATTATTAAATTAATACATATA